TGATATAAATTAATGGATTGTGTTTAAATGCTATCACAGAAATTTATCCAACTGAATATGAACAAACATGAGAAAAGCTGCCCACTTCCTTTCACAAATAAATGTGTTGTGAAGAAAGCCTTAAACTAACATCTGGTCATCATGAGTTCTAAATGATATTGTGCTTGATTAAGGAATTTAATCCTCCTACCCCCCAGCCCTGTGTACTATTGTGAAAAAAAGGATTGGCGTGATATTTATAGTATGGAAAAGGCAAGCACAACTTGATTTTAGAAAATTGTAATGAAAATTGTACACCTTCATGCATATTTTCTTCTGATCCACTCAGATGGTTTTTGGGATCTTCTTCAAAGTTGTAGGCATGTACAACTGGTTCCTCCTGTGCTGGTTTAGCAGCTTTTCCTGTAGATTTTCTTCCTGATGGTGCCATAATCAGAGATTTTCTAAGTGCAATAAGATATAGATAGATATAGTGTAATTCTTAAAATAAAGCTTGTTCAAATAAGTGCATGTTTAAGATAATTAAAAGAAAATAAGGTACTCTTTTATTTTGTATCTGTTTTTATGAATTCAGTCAGAGTTCAACCTTATGTTTTCTGGCTGCAGAATTTCTCCAAAAAAAGAAATGTCCACAAATTTGGAAGTTACACTGCAGCCTGAGGTTATGTATGGCATTGTATCATAGCTGCTGATTACTCAGAGTGGCTGAATATAAGTAAAAACAACAAACCTGTTTCAGTCCAGAAGCTGAAGTGAATAAATAAGAATAATTATTGTAAACTGTAACATATTTTACAAGAATAGTAAAATGAACTAAAATAGTTTAAAACAATTTATTCTTTGAGGGTGCAGGCCTACAAACTCCCAACATCATCTGGAGGACCATAAGATTCTTTGGAATCCTAGTATGGAGGTTCTCTGACCTCTGTGCTTAGACTCTGACAGCTGAGTCTGACACCCATCCCCTTTGTTTATGGTGTGGAAAGAACTGCATCAGTTGCCTCCCTGAAAATGTACTTTGGAGAAGGAAAAAGGGGGTGTGCTTGGGAGTGGGGAGGGGAAGAGGCTACTTATGCTGTTCCCTATTTGTGCGTCAGCCTCCTTCCCTTCCTGGTGTTTTACCTACACAGAAAACAGCCTCACCCCAGACATTGGAGGGCATGTAATTCTCCAAGTTCGAAGGCTTATAGGCATCTAGGGCAGGAGCAATAGGATAGTACTCAACTTAATATAAAAGCAATACTATATCAAGATCCTGGCTCCCTGGGAATTTATTTCCTGATAAAGCACAGCATATATCAAAAGTGATTTGATCAGGCTTCACAAGAAAACTCTCCGTGGGTGCTTCCAGACAGAAGTCCCTACTGATACTAACAAAAAGGTGTTATGCAAGTTATTTGTCTTTTCCTTAACAGATATTTTCCCAGTAAGAAACAAGGTAGAAAAAATGGTTGTTAAACAGGGGAAGGACACAAAGGGAAGACATAATCTCTGCCCTCTGTAAATAAGGGAAGATGACTGCATAATGAAATCACCTTTCACCAAATGACCGGTAGACACACAGGATGGAAATGACTTGATAGTGACACCCAGTCTACAGAACACTATGGCTAGGTTTACATTACATCACATCTCGTCATGGTTAAAATCCATGGACATTGACCAAACAAGGATGGAAATTAGTTAATATGTTAGTTTTCCCTTGGCAAGATGCCAACAGAAAAGTAAAGCCACAAGAGGAACTTTGCTTGTGAAAGCAGGAGGTTACTGCACTGTACGTATCTCCCCTTTCTGCTGTGATACTCTAGTTTTTGTGTAATTGCCCATTCAATTCTCCTTGCCCTCCACTTTTTCTACAGTTTGCTAACCCACTACATTCTCAGGGAAGGTAAGATCCATGTTGTTGTTACATGTTGCCAAGTTGTCTATGGCTTATGTCAATCCTATAAATATAAATGCCCTCCAAAGTGTGCCTTTTTTTATAAAATCAAACTGTCTCATGTTTAGCCTTCTGCCTTTTATCCCTTCAACTTTTCCTATAATTTTTGTTAACTCCAGTATGATCTATGCCATCCCCACAACCACCTGCCCTTAACAAGCAGATTTTTTAGACAGCTGAGAAAAGGATTTTGCTTAAACGAAGTTTTCATGTGCGGCCATGAAATGTGTCAAAATGGCCCTGTCCAAATCCCTGCTCAAATAATCCCCCTTTCTAATGGTTTGTTTTATTGACTATAGTTTTTATGGGCTATCGAAAAAAAGTTATCAAAGTTAAAGCACTGGGAGATGGTCGACAGAAGCACCCCCTCATGTCATACATATACAGTACTTACTCCATCGTTGACCTACCCACCTTCTTCCTTTCCCTCCCCTCCCCACTAGAAGCGACGCGTACAGATTCCCTGAAAGATGGCTTCACTCGATCGCCCTCTAATTTCCCAGCCGCCTCCCTTTTCTTGACGCCACAGCTAAGTTTTTCCCCGTCCTTTCCCCTTTTTCTACCTCCCCTTCGGACCATCCATTCGAGCGCGATTTGCTGCCCTTGTGGCCTGAGTGCGTTTCCTCAGGCCTCTGCTTTTCCCGCCTAAATTACCTCAGACCGTATGTTACAGCTTGGTCTTTTTGAGAAATGGAGCCCTCGCCTCCTCCCTTTCCCGCCTCAGCCCCTCGCCGAGCCTTCTGCCCTTCTAAGAGCTCATGCCAACAACGACCCAGGTTTTTGTTCCACTTAACGCCGCTTCCTTTTGTATCAGATTAATTAAGGGATGGGGAACACCCAGAAAAGTAGAGGGAGCATTTCATCTAGCTCCCGGACAACCTTGTAAATTGCTTCGTAACTGTATGTTCGTAAAAAGAAAGAGGAAAAAATTAGGGTGCTGACAGCCGCACATCTATAAGCGTATATGTACCTCCCTGCCCCACGTCCCTACAAATTCCGTTCTCCGCTTCTAGCTAGGTTCAGTGCACACGTTCAATAATGGAGAGCTGAGGCGGTAGATTGTGCAGCTTCAAACTCCAGTCTCTCGGAGATAGGGAGAATAATTGTTGAATCCCCCCCCCCCGCAACACACACACACACGTTGAGAAAAAAACCTAATGTAATTCCCCAGCAGCAGAGTAGTTGCAAAGGAGAATTCTAGTGCAGCCCTTTGAAAGCTGTGAAAGAGTTCCTCTTGCTGTGGAAGAGTTCTTATCTTGTATATAGGTAGGATATGATGGAGAGGAGGATTAGGTAAAATGTGCTGGATTCCCTTCACGAAAAAATGGATAATAAATAAAAGTAGAGAATATTCCAAAAAATGACAGCCCCATCTGCAGCCTGACATGGTAAAATCAATTTTTGTCTCAAACTGTGTTAATGTGGCACTTGTTAAGCACAATTGGAGTGTGCTTCCCCAACCTCTCATACAGTTTATTTAACAGCTCATTGGGCTAGTACAGTACAGGAGTGACTTTAACATCTGGGTTCACCCTGGGTCTAAATATTTCTCACCGCAATTACGTTAGACTGCAATTCACAGACCTTTGTCATTTTAGGACAGATTTTATCTATCTGTAGTCAACCCTCTGATTTTTCTTTGCAAGGTTTCATGCAAACTCCCAAGACTTTTTTTCTCCACACTAGCACAATTTTAGCCATTTCCCATTATATCCTTTTTCTCCCCTCTCAACGTCCAGCTCAACACATATTTGCAAAGAGGATCTAAGGGAAGAAAACGGCAGATGGCAAGCCTTGCAGTTAGTGAGAATGTGGAAGCACTGGAAGAATCTTCCCACTCCTTCTGAAGACAATGGCCTAGTCTGCACAGAACTTAAAGAAGTAAAATAATCTTGAAGTTGCAAGAGCAGATGACAGTGCTGCAGGCTGTAGACTGAAAAACCTACACACTTCCTAGCATGTGAAAACACGCAGCATATCAGAACAAAAGGCTGTAGCACATTGTGCTTCCTGCCTTGCTAGCTTTCTTTTTGCAAGGAACTGTTTACCTACGTAAATGATCCTTAAAAGCTGTATGCACCTATCTACCATCTGAAATGATGCAATCCATTTTATCATTTCAGGAGGTTCATTCTGGCACCTATAGTTGGGTCAAACCACACATAAGTGTACAGTTGCAGGTAAGCCAAACAGTTCTCTTTTGTGTAACTGCATGGTTACGGTTCATGTGTCTAGACGATTAAACCTCCCTTCCCCTAACTCTATCCCAAAAACCCTCAACTCAAGATTTCTTTCAGGAGGGATAATGATGGGGGGATTTAATCCTCCCAGGTATCCACTGCCCCTGATCAAAATCAAGGCTACACACAGTTACATTAAATTAACAGGCTTAACTACATACTATGCAATTCACACTGAAATGTAATTTGATCCTCATGTCTTTTCTCCAATTCTTCACTGAACATGTAGAACATCCTGCACAAATTAGCCTTGCTCCCAACCTTTGTGCAGATAATGAAGACCTCTTTTACATCTTCTGCCCCCTCCTTGCAATTAGTAAGTACAGGTGGGCTCAGGTCCCACTTTGAATGGCTTGCTCCTTCAGAAGACAGTGTCAGAGAAAGAAGGAAGAAAAGGGAACAGAAATGGAGAACCAGTTTGAGGCATAATGAAAAATTGTACTTTCCCCAGCTGTACTCTCTTCCAGCCACCTTTGTTACTTTCCCATGCTTAATCAACCCTGCTCGAAGCTGATCATACCCATTTTTTAAAAAGTAGTCAGGTAAAGTCATAGACATCCGTACATAGCATTTTGCTTGATTCTTGATGGACAGGTGAAGTTGGATGCAGTACAAAATCAATTACCTGCCAAGACAATTGTGCTTGTCATGGTTTCTGTTCTGGGGCAAACTAGCTATCAGTAACCACAGTTTACTGGATTTGGATCTGGAGCAGTGGTAGAAATATGGAGCCCAAAGTACTGTCCTGCTGGTTACACTAGTGTAAGTATCTGCAGCTTTACGTTCATTATGAAATTAAGTGTAAAATAGGCAAAACAATATTTTAAACAAGTTGGACTCAATTTATTTAAGTTAAAATTAGGTGTATGCACTGGATTAGGAATAAGGTGCCTTTTTGATTAAAAAATATTTAACCCCATCAGAGTATTATACAAGTGATCATGTTTTTTTCTTTGAGTCGCACAGAGTATGACATTTTCAATCAATAACATTATTAAAAGCATACATTTTACAGCACACTGAAAATCTCCTATTTTCATTATAAAATAATTGACGCAATCTAAACTCTTCTAAAGTCGCTAATATGATTAAAGTATTTCTTTCAAAAATATCAGCTTGAAAAGTGTCCTTTTTTCTTTTACTAGTTTGAGATATGTCAACAAAATAACAGATCACCAGAGCTCATCCCTATTTTTTTGAATAATAATTGCTTGATATGACAACTTGCTGTATCATGCCAACATTCATCCCATTAAAACAATATAATGTGTTGACAACTTTTCTGGCGAGGCACTTTTGCTGCTAAATATACAATGTTCTTATAAACAATAATTACATCCAAGTCCCTTTTACATAATTAGAGCCCAACGCTTTTAATTAGGCATACAGTTATTGGGCAGGAATTTACATTATAATCAGTAAAGACATTACATTGGCAAAAGAGATTGGAATCAATTTTCTTTATGTAATTTCGCATCTACTAGCAGAATATAGTGTTAGCGTATTATCATTTAAACCTCCATTCAGAGAACACCCTACCATATAATCCATACTATGCTTAAATTTATGAAGTCTAGACGGTGATTAAACTGGGGGGGGGGGGGCAAGGGGAGAGATTCTAAGGCTGCAACACTGCATCTTTGTGCTTGAAGAACAAAACACACAACAGCTCCCAGATGTATATTTTACAAGTATCCCCTGCTAGTATTGTGGTTGCACTCCAAAAAACCAGAAATTCAAGACAGAAGAAAGGCCATTTGGACTTCCCTAGAAGGATATGAAGTGCATTTATCCTGTGTGTGTGACTTCTTCATACTCCTCCAGAGTAGCCTATAAGACAGGAGTCTGAGGAAGAATGAGCATGACAGTCCCGAAATATTGATATGAATTGACTGACTGCAGGAGTGGACACATGGCATAGCAGTAGCAAGCCTCAAGCAATGGTGGAAGGGAAAGATACCATGGGCTGCTATGGGAGATGATCCACATCTTGCTCTCCATGCACATAGGATGCAAGTTTATAGCTCCAAGAAGGTTTTCTTGTTCAAATAGCAGGATAAAAGGAGCAACATACTGACGGAAAGGTTAATAACTCATTAAACATATTGGGATGAAAGCTCAGAGACATTTCTAACAGAAACAACTTTCCAACATTATATTTTGTTGGCAATGACTACTGCAATAAATGCAGCTATGTTGCTTTCAGTAACCCTTTTTATAAAAAGGATAATGCACTCAGGAGTTAATGCTGGCCACAAACCCACTCCTCCCTCATTCTAAGTTCAGTAGCATGAATCATACACGGTCACAAAGGCTATAATGGATGGAGGCATTTTTGTTCATGCCCAGGACACAACAATCAAGACACTTCTGAACCAAAAGATTTTACATGCTCATCACATGTTGAGGTAGACTGATTTACAAACAAAATTCTTCTACACCTTCATTCGTTCATGACAGACTTCTCTTTGAATCCTCCTCCTTGGAAAAATTTTCCGTTTGAGAGCTATTAACTGAAAAATTAAAGAACACATTTATTTTCATTTTGTTCGCTATTTGTTCTTACGAACCATCACATTGCTTCAGGCCACCACAGGATGCCTCTGGCCACCCCAGCAGTATAACTGTCCTAAAATGGGCTCCTGTATGGATGGATCATCACTTAATCCAGCTGATGTACTTCCTCCATCAGATCACTGGTAACCCTGTCTTACTGTGGGGTAGGTGATATCTGAGGAATGTAGGGTGAGAATAACCTTCCCCATCCCCTGAATACATGACTGGATCTGATGTGCATCCCAGTTCTAAAACCCAACTTTTTAGATAGAGAACTACACATGTGCATGAAGTTAATATACACAGGTTTGGACCCAGATTTATGCTGGATCAACTATGCTCACAGAAGTGGATTTTCTTGTCCTTTCCTTCCCACGGAAGCCCCCAAAAATGATACAGTGGGTGTCTGGAGACCCTATCAAGTGAGGTCAATTGTGGATCCCCAAAAAATCAGCTGGAGGACTTTCTGTAAGCAGAGCTGTTCCTCTTGAGGGCAATTTCTTCCTCTCGTGGAAAGCAGAATCTGGATTTAACCCACACACTGCATCTTTATGCATGGAAAGCCTGGCCTTAGTTGGACTGAAGCCATCCAGTTGCAGAATTATAAGGAATGCCATCCTATTGAATGCCTTGTTCAAAGAAATGCAGTTTTGGTCACTCTCAAAAGATCACACCACCATCTCGTGATCTTTTAGGCCATCTAGTCTAACCCTCTGTTCTCATCAGTCATCTCTGCCACTCATTATCTTTTTTGGACTCATTTGAGACACATCTTGATATTCCAGAAGCCAGTTGGTACAAATAAACTAGATATTAATCTTGGCTTAATTTCATTGTATTTATCCAATATTCTGCATTATGGCTACCCACACAATATTTTAACAAAACTGATATCCTAAGAAAATTGTTAGATTTTAATAAAGATTCTTACCTGCTCAGCAAAAAATGAGGTGACAGTGAACACAATTAATGTAACTAACACACAATGTGTCCAAAATTTCAATTTGTCTCTGTAGGCTCTCCTAAGCACAGTACAAAAGTAACAAAGAAGCATTTTAAAGTAATATGTCTAATATTCTCCCAAGGGTTGCAGAAGTACACGCACATGATAAAGCTTTTGAGTATAGATATTCTCCTCTAGTAGTAATAACATTTAAAAGCAACCAGTTAACTTACAGTATAATGTTTCTCTTGAAAGTATGTCTCCAATTTTAAATTTACAATCTCAATTTACTAATATGAGAAGTCATAACAGAATATGCTATGTAAAACCAAATCTAAAAAGAAGATTAATAGTTTAAGAAATTATACTTCTTCCAGCATGGTTGACTAATTCTCCAGCACAATTTCACCTATCATTAATTAAGAGCAATTTTACCAAGTTTATTTTCATTTTAGAATCATAGAATAGTAGAGTTGGAAGGGGCCAGAAGGCCATTAGGTTCAATCCCCTGTGACTGCAGGACACCAAGTTACACTATCCCATTCAGATGACTTTTCAGATGCTTTCAGAGTGTCTCCAGTAAGGGACAGCCCACTTCCTCAAGTAATAGGTTCCATTGTCGTACTGCTCTGACAGTAAACAAAATCTTCCTGGTGTCTAGTCTATTTCTGGTTTCTTTTAACTTAAGTCTGTTATTCCTTGTCCTGCATTCTGGAATGAATGAGAAGACTCAAGTTTTAAAACTAAATCTGGCCTGCTATTTTTCTTTTGCTCAGAAAGTTTACTCCAGATGCCAATACAGCACAACACACATTCATTTCAAGGGCCCTGAAATACTTACCATTCCTGAAGCTCCTGTGTATGAAGGAAACGGTTCCGGTATTCTCTTGGCAGCTCAAATTGGGAAGGGATGGGAAACATTGATTCGTAAAAATCCCTAAGCACTGCCTTTACCGTCTGAGCATCCTTATGGTTGTGATCAATATTGTCATTGAGACAAACAAATTTTCTGGGGAGGAGAAGGGGAAAATTATATATAAAACCAGCATTTTGAGAGAGAGAAAGAGAGAGAAAGCATCCCTTGTTCACTTTAAACTTCAGAAAGGATATGTCAAGAACTACATATTGGACCTGCTGTCTAAACCCCGCTTCCCTATAAGCCTTGTGCTCCATCAGGACCTGGAAGCTCAACAAATACTCATCCAGCTCTGCCTCTGTTGAGACTAATTTTCCATGGATTAAAGTGTTTTGAATGTGCTAAGTGGCACTGGCCTACATTAGACTAGCAGCCCATTATCAGAGAACTTTGGAAGATAATGAAGGACTGGTTAGTCACTTTTAAAATCCAAGCTATTTTCTATTGGGCTTACATTAAAATTAAAGATGGACAGACAATGAAGTTCAAACATACATTAAGCCAGGCATAAGAGGTAAATTACAACATTTTTTTTTCAATACTATATATTACATACATATATACCTAACCTAAATAATTATGATTTGTTTGAATGGGTTGCTGTAAGGATTATGTTTAGGAAGCACATATACAATTTTCAAATTTCAAAATACTTTCAAATTTTCAAAATAAGTATTAAGCATTAATGTTAGCATCATTAAAAATACCTTGATGGTCTTTTTACCTTCACAATTTTATTTCAAAGTGTTCAAAATTGAAAATTAAAAATTTCCTTCTATAGAATGAAATCTGAGGTAATTTCAAAACTGAATGTTTCTGTACCTGGGATTTTTGCGTATGTCATCAAGCTGTCCAACTACATGGGAAACATTGGTACGGATCATTTTGAAGGCAACTTCCTCCTCTCCCATAGTCTCAAACCTTGGTTTTAGAAAGGAAAACATGAAAAAGCAACATACATTGTGAACAAAGGCATTGCATGCATTCCAACAAATCTGTGCTGTGTGTTCAAGTGTCTCTAGTTGTTTCCATTTGGTCATTTTTATGCCTACTTACCTATTCAAGTAAAAAGCAGCCTTATGAATATAAGCCTTCTGTTCTATAATGTTACTGTTGTTCACAGTTATAAATGAGAAAACTGAGATTGATTGTTACACTGGGGAAATTCAAGTATGAATAGAATGATCCCCATAATTTCTTCCTATCCCTACCCAGAGTGTATTGGCAAAGCAGCTCCTTGCCTGCCTCCCATTTCAGCACCTCTGTTGAGAAGAAATTCCTGAAGCACTGAAACTCAAATAACTTGCTTGGTACAGAGGGACAGATTAGTATTAGATTAGATGAGGATACTGGAGGCAGGCAGGGACTTCCCCATTCCCCACTTAACATCATAGCATGCTGCCTGAAAGAGCACTCAGGATGGTGGCAGAAGAAACAGAATTCTTCTGGGTGCTATAGGGATCAAGCTGTGCACTATTGCTAGGTAGGATTAGTTCCTTTGCCCTTTTGTCCAATCAGGTTTGGAGGCAGAACTCTTCTAGATAAAATATATTACAGACTGATGAAATTCTTTATGTCCATCTAATTGCTGTGTAAGTTCACCTGGCAAAAACAGCAAATGTCCATTTGGAAAGCCTGATTAAACTTTAATTGTATCATACAGCTTTGTCTCTTCCACCTTTCCTGCCAGTGGGTACAATCCTCTTTTTTGCTAGTGCCATAAATAGGAAATAATATTCTTCTTGAGCATACTGCATGACTCAAACTCATCTTGTTGGAACTCCCTAAACCATAAGTATGTGTACTTGCTGCCATGGAAATATTCAGCATGACTCGCAAGACTGAGGATAGATACAAAATAATTTATGCTCACTCATATTTTAAACAGAAGCTTTTTTATTCCTGTTATGTAATGTTGTACTTCTAAGATGACTTTTAAATATTTTATTTGAAGCATACACTTGCCCTCCCACACTTGCACACACACAGAGAGAACTAATTCTATAGGTGCCTCTGTACTTGTCTACTTGTTTTTCTTTAACCATTAAAAGAAGGGATACCTGTATTTGTTTTTGTCCTTATAAGCTTTACGAATTCTGTCAGTCACAAGCTTGCAGTTGGTTAGCAGATTTTTAGTCACAGGAGGCTGAAAATTGGACAAGCAATAATTGAAAATGTAGATTATTAATGCCTCCACCTACCCTATATTTTAAAAGGAAATATTCTGTACAGTACTCCAAACAATTCTCTTGCTTTCTCAAAGATTTGGTAGTTATGCTATTGTTCAGCAAAACCACTGAGGCATAATAACAATTTTATGGAAAATAACTTTTGTAAATATTTCTTAGAACCCAGATTTCAAATCTAATAAAACACATAATTCAATCTTCCATGACCACAGCAGCATAGAAAGTACTTTGGTGCAAGCCAGTCAATGCTAACCAAGACTTGAACAGCTGATATATATTAATTTTATTATTCCTAATTTAACCCAAGCCCTGTAGACAAACCCACAAACAATTCTAAAAATCAATGTCCCTATTCACAAGGGAAATATTATATATGTTTAGCCTTGTTCCTGGAAACCCAAGAACTAAGAGTTCAAAAATAAATTCAGTTATGACTATGGAAATGAAACATATTCTGGCACTTTTTAAAGTAAGCTTCTCTTTAAGGAAATAAAATAGCAGCTAAAAAGTGTTCTAGGACATTAAAGCTGTAATCCTATATAAATTTACCTGGGAGTAAATTGCACTTAACTCAATGGGGCTGACTTCTAAGTAGACATGGATAAGATTGCACTGTAAGGGGAATACTGAAAATTTATCAGAACCAAGAATATCCAACAAGATCTCATGCATCCTTCCCCAACATGATACCCCCAGATGTATTAAACTCTCAGAATACCCACTCATTATAGCCACTGGCCATGGACTAAGACTTCATGCATACTCTTGCCACTAAATTCCTTCCTCTTAATTGTATTCCTTTGTTGTGCTGTTTCTCCTGTGTCAATTTTTAGATTGAAATTCCATTAGGTGTAAGGACCTGTCATACTTGATCATAAATCATGATGCACATTAATAAAATAAACAATGGGAAGGATCAGATTTATTTTAGATCTAGAAGAAATCTTGGAGGTAATCAAGTTCAAGCATCCACTCAATCCATCAGCAGGAATCTATCAGCAACAGCAGCATGTAAAATTGTGAGATAATCAACCTGCAATCCTACACCTACTTAACTTGGAGAATTCTGAGCAGACATGTACAGAATCATACTGTTAACTTCCTAAAATTATGTTAATTCAGTATGAGGAATAAATGTAGAATTATTATTAATAGCCATAGCCAGAATCTAAAGAACTACTCTGCAAGTTTGAGGTATGTGTTTCTTCAGTGACTGCCACATGGTCAGCTGCTTTTGAAACTGGCAGGGCATTCAAAAGCAGTTTTGCGCACACTATCAGATGAGAGGCAAGGCATGTTCTTGGATGGATGGATGGAATCAATCACTGAACACATCTGAAATTGGGACGCTTCTTCATGGATGAAATTAATGTAGCACCATTTATATGAAAATACATGAGAAAAACAAAGAGTACACTGAACATAGGCACTTTAGAAAGATTTCTTTTTAACAATCTGTTGCGTTAACAAATATATAAATATGTATTTTAGACAATAGTTCTGAAAGGCCAGTATGTTCAAATTTCAAAGGGAGATTTCAAATATATTTGTAATGACTCCTTACCAGATTGGGATCATAATATGCTTCCTGAGTTGGTGGTATGATATTAATTTGCGTGATGTTGACTGGAAGGGATTTAGAACAATTTATTAACATTTGCTCCAAACCTGTCAAATCCTAGTAGAAAAAAAGATAGGAAATTGTTATGCATTTTTTCTTTCATGAAAGAGTCTTCATAATCTATAAACATTAAATAAATATGACTGTAGCACATATTTGTTCCTGTAAATCCACTTAATGAAAATAAGGTCTAAGATTGTGCCTAGGCTCTGACAATAAAATAAGAGCACTCATGATTGAGTATTTCCCCCAAACATTTTTTTAAACCATACTTTTACATAAACAATGAGAGGGTTGTGGAAAAGGCTAAGCTCCTTGATACAGTAGCTTATTATGTGAAGGGTATTTTTTTTCAACAGCAGAACACTCCATCATACCTGCAGTCTGAAATGGTACAGCTCAAGAACAGGCTGACTAACGCAATGAGAATAATGCCTTAAAACAGGCTAAAGTGTATCAGCCTAGAAGTATGTATGTATGTATGTAGGATATTTCTAACCCATCCAATCACTATGCATCTCTGGATGGCTTACAAACAAAATTCAAAAAATACAACAGTATAAAATATCATATAATACCCCAAACAATAATAAGACTAATAACCCACAAATGAAGTAGAGCATAATTTAAAAAATTTTAAACATTAAAATACTGGGTGAATAAAAAGGTCTTGACCTGGCGCCAGAAAGCATATAATGTTGGTGCCAGGCAGACCTCTCTAGGGTGCGCATACCATAGCCAGGGCACCACCGCAGAGAAAGCCTTCCTCTGGGTATTCTGTCTCCTAATCTTCTTCAAGGAGGGTTCCTGGAGTAGGGCCTCTGCTGCAGATCTTAAGGGGCAGGAAGGCATATAGGGAAAAAGAGGTTCCTTTAGGTATCCTGGTCCCAAACTATTTAGGGCTTTATAGGTCATAACCAGCACCTTAAATTGGGCCCAGATTTCAATGGGAAGCCAGTGAAGCTGATAGAGGACCAGAGTAACAACCAGTCCCTGACAGCAACCTTTAATTTTGTACCAGTTGAAGTATCTGGACCATCTTCAAGGGCAGCCATGTAGAGTGTGTTACAATAGTCCAAAAATACTTAAGGACAATGATCTATGTCACACTAGAATGGAAGGCTGTTGGATCTCTTGCTTGGAGAAATTCTCAGGACCCCTATTCTAGCAGCTGGGATGAAAAGCAAAGGGTAGGGCCAAAATTGCAAGCAACAGGAACAGAATTTTGCTTAAGCTGTCAGGAACCAAGATCCAGGAATGGTATTTTACCCTTTTAGAAAAGAAATTAAAACCACTTTACAAAATAAGGAAAATGTAGCCAACAATGGATAAATTTGGTGAGTATTTAGCCAGATATGGATACAGAAATATTAATACACCATTGAGCACACATCTTTAATGTCTACTTTTTATTATCACTCCAATCACACACACATGCTTTACAGTGATAATATGAAATTTCCTAGGGGAATTTAAAAAATACCTGCAAGCTTAAAGGGAGTTCATGAATTCTTGTGGCCAGTGTACGAATCTCTCGGTCAGATAAAATTCCAGACTGATCTGTATCAGCTTCATCAAAAACCTGAGAGATATTCAGTGGCTGAACTGCACTCATGAGATAATAGAAATATGAAAAGGCAAACTGCATATCTTCCGAGTGGCGCACTTTGTGAAAGGAGGTCTTGTCAAATTCCTCAGGAAATCTGTCCAGAAAAGAAGGGAAGCAATTGCATCAGTGTTAGACGCAATTTGAATAAGCAACATTCTTTCAGAAAGTAGTCCTCACAGAAGCAGATTTTCTGAGTTAGCAGTTGCAGAAAGCAGGCCTGCTCAGACAGATATTGTTATGCAGTGACTAAAGGACCAGGACTGCAAGTACAAGCAACATTTTTAAACTCTGATGTATCATGTACTCACAGACAGCGCCTCAAGGGTAAAAATGGACTTGCTTACGAAGAACTCAATAGGAGTGGAAACGTTACCCAATCAGAGTTCCTACTTTTATTGAGAAGCCCTCTGCAGGTTTGTTTATACTTTTCACTGATACCAAGAAGATAGGTGAGGCTAGGAAACTGCTTTGTACTGAAATAATCTGGCTCAGAACCACTGATGCTGATTGGCAGTGACTTTCCAGGGTTTCAGGAAGGATTATTTCCTAACCTTACATGGATATTACAAGGACCAAACTCAGAACCTTCTGAATACAAAGCAGAGACTCTACCATGGAGTTCCATTCTTCTAATCAAATGCCTGCCAGCCATAGGGGTAGTGGGCAATGAGGCTGTTGGTGTCAGACAGTGTTGAGTTCCCAGAAATGTGAAAATGTTTGCCTGTACAAACCCAGCCAGCATCTGAAACCTCCCCAGTTCATTTTAAGTGAAGACCTGGTTGCTTTGTTTAAGCCAGTTCCTCATTTGAGCAAGGACTTACAAAATGAATTTCATTCAGACAGACATTTTAGTCCCAATGTATATGCTAAAGTCTCAGCTTTAAAGTCTTAAACCAATCCTCCGGATGTCTTCTGTATGTTTGAGAAGTAAGAGAACTCAAACCATGTAATTTGTAAGCAGCAGACTGGAAGGCAGGATTAAAGGCTCTACAGCACAGAGCTGACTTCCTGGCTATGTCCAGAGATTTGTGGGGTGTTTTGGTACTTGCATGCATGCACATGTGAGCATGTGCATTTGTGTGGAGGATCATTTTACTTTGGGATTTCCACTTGCCATTTCAACTGGTACTGTCCAGGAACTACATTATTTGCCTAAATGCTTTTGTGAGAACTAGGCTCAATATTCTTCACTATTTCAAAGTACAAATTTGAAAAATGCATGTGCATTCAAATGGATTAATGTAAATTTCTAGCAAAAAGGTCAATATTTTTTCCAAAGCTGAACTCACAGATCCTGCAATTCTTGCATGACTTTTCGATCAATCATGTGAGGCATATGAGCAGGAACTTTCCGAGATGTGAATCCAAATTTGCTGTTTAAAAGCTTATTAACATATCTGAGAGAATCAGCAAATGTATCTTTCAGCTGCCTTCTGGTTAATTTACTATTTGTAAAGTAAGCAATCTCTTTCTTTAATGCTTCTTCTTCCTGGAAAACAAAAATACATATATGCAACATGTTTATATTAATAACAAAGTAACAAGAGTTTCACTCTAGGCTTATTAGTTCACGCGTAAGATTAAATCCTTGATGGAATGCTGGTAGCAGTTGTGCAAAAGTGCTTTTAAATATGCTTAGAAAAGGTTTGTCCAACTGGAAAAGCTTTATCTAACAGCTGGAGCTACACATGCCTAAACCAGACAGTATGCTGATGATTGCACAAATCATCCGCTGAGCGGCTGAGGAACGGGTAAAATTCACTTACTAGAAGGATTTTGGGGCAGGTTTTTATATAACTTGACTCACCTTTTGGTTCTTTGCTTACAACCAAGCAAACCTTCTCTGTGAATTGCCAGTGCAAACTTTTTAAACAACCAGCAACTGAAGATTTCCATTGCAGATTTATGTGCAAAAATACTAGTATTTTATTGATTCAGGAAAATAAAAGACAACTTATATAAAATGAGCTCAGTGTCTCTGTTTTAAACCATGAAGGAACTGGAAACCAAGGTTTATGAGGAAAAGTTGGAAGAACTGAGTATGTTTGGCCTGGGGAAGAGAAAATCAAGGGGAGCCATGCTACTTGTCTTCAGGTAGGGCAGTCACACAGAAAATAGAGCAGCCAGAGTCCTTTGTTGCTCCAGAAGACAAATGTAAGACCTATGGGTAGGATTTGCAGGGAAACAGATTTCAGCTGAACATTAGCAGACGCTAGGCAGCCTATACTATAGTTGCAAGAATCCTGCCCTGAACTGTCAATTAGCGCAGTTGAACATAAAAGTCCCCCCCAATTCTGAAAATTCTAGGATTCTAACTGAGGGTTACATTCTGAAGTTAGCCACAGGAAAATGTAAATTCTAACAGTGACCTTATTAATCTTAATAATGCCACACCGCTGTCTTTGTAAAAGCAATTAATTAGGCTTAACATTTATATAGCACTTTGGATTGCTCAAAACACATTACCTGCCTTACTTTTCTATACAACAACCCTGTAATGTAGGTCTGTATCACTGTTCCTGTATTATGGGCAGGGCTGAAGCTTGGAAAGCAGAGTTTGTTTAAGGCCACTAAGTGAATTTATGACTTAGTGGCATAAATCAGCCTAAGAGCAAGATCCAGCTCCAATTATATTGTTTTATATGGTTAATATGTATTTATTTATTGTTGTGAGCCACCCCGAGGCTTCGGCGAATGGGGCGGCATAGAAGCTTGCTAAATAAATAATAAATAAATAAAATCCAACTGAGGCTTTTAGGCTGCAATCTTGCATACATTTAACTGGGAGTAAGTTCTGTGAAATGCAATGGAAATTACTTCTGAGCACATAAGCAATCGTTTAAAAAATATTTATCACCCACATTTATAACTAAATGTTCTCAGAATGCCAAATGATAAAATAAATAAGATGCAAAATAAATATATAAATAAAAATCGACAAGTAAAAGGCCAGCAGAAAATCTTGATAATTTGACACTATCCTAGTTATTTAGGACACTCACATCAAGAAGATCTTGGAAATATTTATGTTTCTCCCATGGCAAAAAGCCTTGGTAATTTCCAGTGTAATACTGCAATTTTCTTCTTTGTAAGGCTGGCCCTCCTGCTGTATCTTCTTTGCCTTGTGCTGGATTTGCATCTGCATCTTCTTCCTTCTTTTCTGTTCTTTTTCCTTCTTGAATTCCTTTTGACTTTTGAGATTCTTTTGGCCTGAGGGCATTCAGGGTTTTCTCTGGAGATGCATACTTTTCACCTGTATTCTGGCTTAAATATGCAGATATAGGTTTTGTTGTAGAGTTGTGCCTTACTGGGAAATGACTGTTGACCTTCATTGGCACAAGAGTAGTTGCAAAACCCAGGGGAACTGTCTTCTGCATTTCAACTTCTTTTTTGTCATCATGGACCTTCTTCCCATTAATGGTGCCATCATGTACTTCATTTTTCTTGATTTTTTGGGAGTTGCTTATTGCTGCCTTTGTTGCTGCAGGCACCATTTCAAAAGGTCTCAGGAGTGCAACCCTAGACAGATTGTACCCTTTCTGAGTAATGTCACCAATCATTAGCTGCAAATCTAGGTTCTGCAGAGCTACCTTCACATCCTCTGGAAGGGTAGACATGTTAACAGCTCCAATTACTATGTTTTCTTCCCAATTATCAGTTGTGTCGTTTGAGCGTTTTCTAATTTTTGGAAAGCGTTTTTCTTCAGGAATATCCTCAAATATCATTTCAGCTTCTGGTACTGAAGTTGTAGCTTTGACATCATCCTCTGGTTTCTGGGTGGAAGTTGTATTTGTTTTTGGTTCCTCTCTTGTATCAACCTCTAGGGTTACCTGCATCTTAAACTCCTGGTCATCTTTACTTTGGAATGTAAGATTAAAATGAATCACAGTTGCATTCATCCCACTGTGCATTATCAGATGAATTGTCTTCCATTTGTTAGCAATGGAAGCATGGCGGATTATTGGGTTATCACTATATGCACCCTCAAGTCCTTTCTTGGCTATTTCAGAAAAGCTGAAATAAGGTAGATATTCGCCTTTTGGAAGGACATAATGAGTCTGATTCTTTTGAAGAGTCACTTTGTACAGCTCACCAAAGTGATCTGGAACAACAGAGAAGTATTAGTATAAGTATTAGTATTATTTACATGTTTTACCCTGTCCTTTCACTAAGGAACAATGGGATGGTTTACATGCCTATGTCTCTAGTCCATTTCATTTCTACAACAACACTGTGAAGTAGGTTAGGCTGACAGTGTGTTACTCACTCATGTTCACCCAGTGAATTCCATGCCTTGAACCCAGGTCCCTTTCATATTAAAATTACACCCACAACAATGGCCAAATACTATTTTCCGGTTTCTGATAGCCAACTAAAGTGGAGTGCCACTTTCCACATAAGACTCAAAGAAAAAGGATTATGTATAGCCCTAAGTGTATATACATATAAGTCATGTAGACTTATTTCTTTATGCAAATCAGGAAAAAAGGAATAATTATAGTCCCAAACTTTTAAAGAGCAGCATGTTGAAGAAGGCACCACATATACACAGTAATATTTTTGTTTCCTGACCATTTTCCTCCTCTCTCTCAAAGCACTTGCTTCTCATGGACTAACTTGTCTGTGAACTTATGAGTTTAGCAAAGGTTCTCTTTGAATCAAATGCAGAAAGATGACAGGTAGGCATAGGAAACTGTATCCATAGATCTAGACTGAATGAATGCACAAACAGAGCATAAGAATTCTACCATAACAGTCATGCTGATGCTATATGCATTAACATACCTTGTCCACAGTCACCAGCATCAAATCCACAAGAAAGAACATTGCATGCCTGGTCACAAAATTTGTCAGCAAGCCATGAATTTGCACAGCCCTGATTGCAGTAAGAGACACCACTTATTCCTGCACCAAATTGCCAGGGTGGAGCATTCCCAACACCTACACCAGCTGCACCACCAGCACCATAACGGCTACCCAAACTGCTACCTAAAAAGAGAAAGGAAAGTAGAGGATCAAAATTCTAACAGCTAAATTCTCAAGTGCACAACTTAGATTTAAAAAAAATTAAATAGTTGGCTAGTTGTTTACAAATTTGATTTTTAAACTTTGACCCCGTTTTAGTTTTACATTCAAGATCTCTTTTGTACATTGTAAAATTAAAGGACCCTTTACAGAAGAAGCATAAACATTTCTAAGGATGTTGGTGCATTTTAAACCATTTCTAGTAAAGAATATATACTCCAAAACTAAAATATTTATCACCTTGCATCTTAAATATAAGGCTATAGAAATTATTCTGGGAAAAGTTCACAAGAAACATATATAGGATGCAACCACCTTTGAGTAAACAGCCTGTTAGACTACCACACCCATAATTCCCACGTAGCACGCAGTCCAACACATCTGGAGGGCAAGAGGTTGAGGAAGGCTGGAACAGTAGGTGTGTGCACATGTGTGTCTGTGTATTGGAGGGAAATTGTAAAGTGGAAGGACAGAAGCCATGCAAACACTGGGGGACTTACAGGGATGTTTTGTCTAGCCATTTCAGCCTCTGCTCCCTTTCCCCGGCATGATACTAGGATATTGGTCTGGAACGGGTCACAGTTCTGAGCTGAGAGGAATTAATATGCCACATCCCATACAAGAAAAAACAGAGAAGCCCAAGCCCAGCCTAGTGTTTGCTAAAATTCTCTATAAAATATTAGCCTATGAAGAAGATAAAATCAGGGGCAAAATGATGTGGATACTAATGGTTGAATCTTTTTTACCCATATTAATATTAAATCGCAGCAATTTGCATCCAAATGGGAATGTTTCAGAGATGAACATACTGAAATTGCTGAGCTTCATCTACTCAACTTGCAACCAAATAGATTCTCCAGCCATGAAAACACACTTCTACCACCCTGCATAGATTACTTTGTCTAGGAAAAAATGTTGTCATATATGAAATGACTCCTTTTCTTAAGGACACATTTATACACAGAAGACACTGGCAGCAGTGCATGTGCCAAGAGTGCCCCGCGAAAGGAAACACGGGGCTCAGAAAAAGTCTGGTTACTTTGTGTTTATGGCTACCCAAGTGATTTACAAGAATATATCCTGAAAAGAAAAATTCCTTCACATCTGCAAAACAACTTATCACCATTCCCAAATTTCAGAAATGCTAAAAGTTGGGTTTATGAATATAAGAACGACTGTGCCGGATCAGACCAAGGGATATCTTGTCCAGAATGTTCTTCACAAAGTGGCCAACCTACTGCCCATGGAAAAGCATAAGCAGGACAGGACAGCAATAGCACCCTCCTGTCTGTGCTCCCCAGCAACTGGTGTACATAAACGTACTACCTCTGATAAAGCCATCAGGACTCACTGCCACTGATAGCCTTCCCCACAAATTCCTCCAACCCTCTTTGAAAGCCAGCCAAGGCTTTCAAGACTTATGGCTTCTTACCAAGGCAATCACCTCCATCCCAATCACATGCAGAGTTGTTGCAGGCTTTATCACAGTAGCCATCTTTAATCCAAGAACCAGGACATCCTTCAGCACAGTTTGGCACAGGCCAAGTCAGATAAACCTGATAAAAGAGACAAAAACACTTTCTTTCTTATAAAATAATATTATTTTAACACAGAGTTTTACAATTCAACTCAGCACAGCAAGCTGAACTGCAATTGCCAGTTATTTAATGCTGATCCAGATATACATGCAGGCAAGTCATTTCTAAGGTTCCTCCAAGTGGCAAAGGAAAACAACAAGAAAGAGATTTATTTTCAGGGCACAATGATAAGTTTTCTAAGTAACAGACTGTGCATTTCTTCTGGACTAGAGCATTGAAAAGAATATTTTCAGTTACTTTCATATTAATTTCAGAGGATGTACAGAAAATCTCTTCTTTATTCAAATAAGCATCCTAGCAATCCAGCTGGGAGCTCTGAGGGGTTTTTATGTCTAAACATGCAAAGGACTATACCCTAAACTATTTTGCAGTGGCTTACCTTTTGACCTTTGGAGTGACTATAGAAATCATCAGGCCAAACATCTTTCCCAAACATCACATCATCATTTAAATAAATGAACTTCTGGGACAGGCCTGCAATGCGGTGAATATGGCTTTCAATGGCAGGGGAACTAAAGGTGGGCAGGTGACTCACATTCCGAAATATATCCTAGAACATTAAAGAAAATGTTATTGGAAAAAAATCTTATGGAAGAGGTGGGGTTTGTTTTAAAAAAAATCATTTCTTAAACACTGTTTTGAAATTATCCTTTAATTCTCAATTTCATATCTGCTGTGCAAACTAGAATGGATAAAGGTTTGTCTGAATGAATATACCTGGAAATCATTCACTCATGCACACACAATGTTTAACATGTGTTGCATGCAGGCAACAATAAACATATATTTGCCAATAACCCAATTTAAAGAACCAGTTCTCAAATGAGAGAATCAGCTGCTCCTAACAAAATGGAAGAAATTATATCAGTTCATATTTATTTATTTAAAACATTTTTATGCTGCTCCCATCGCAACAAAGCCTTATATATATATATAAAATATATATCAGGAGCCTTCCTCACTCTATGCATGAATTTACTTTCAGCTTGTAGTTTAGTGCAATTTATAGTTTGCTTCAACATCCAAATCAGAAATGCACTTCTATCCAGATTCATGAATCACATTTTGAAGTGAGTTTCCAGTTCTGAGGCAAGTATGAACCATAGTTTGCCATTCTGGACAATGTGGCCAAGAAATTTTATAATGAATGAGTTTTCACACAAGTAAGACATGTGCTGCTTTGTATAAAATACTAGTTTTTGTATGTCACTTTATTTATTTATTTATTTTAAACTTTTGTATGCCATCCCCCATGCAAGGCATCTCGGGACGGCTCACAGTCAAAACATTAAAACAATCAATAAAATTACATACATTAAACCAATCTAGCTGTAAAACACAACTGTTACAATTAATACTGCAAGGCATCTTGGGATGGCTCACAGTCAAAACATTAAAACAATCAATAAAATTACATTCATTAAAACAATGCAGCACTAAAAACAATAAAACACAACTGTTACGATTAATACTGCAAGACATCTTGGGACGGCTCACAGTCAACACATTAAAACAATCCATAAAATTACATAAAGCAATCCAGTGCTAAAAGCAATAAAACACAACTGTTACAATTAATACTAGTTTTTAAAATACCAGATAAATAAAACGGTTTTAACCTGGCACCAAAAAGAGTATAAGCTTGGCGCCAGGCAAACTTATTTCTCATAAAAAGAACAAGAAAAGAGCTTTGCTTGGGTTTCCGTGCTTCCCCATCTCCTCTTCCCCTGTCACACAGCCATGAGAAGGAGTTTGAAAGAGTTCACTTCTGCTTTTGCTTAACTGTGGTGTTCTTATGACATCCTGACCAAGAGACTAGAATAGTGTTGACTATGACTAAAAACTAATTTTATGCTATAGTTGTTGAAACTGACTGTTTTAAGCAGACCATAGCTAATTCAAGTTTGTTGGTCTGAATGACGCAATAAACCACAGATAACCAAACTGGAGGAGAAAGCTCCTTCTCTCAGCCATGTGGAAGGAGAGGAGCTAAGAAAGTCTGAGACTCACTATGGCTAATTGCTGCTCATTTATGTTGCACTAAACTATGGTTTAGCCCAGGGATATTCAACCTACTACCCTCCAGTGTTTTGAACAGTATCAACTGGATTTTTCGGGCCAGTGTGGTACGGTGGTAAGAATGTTGGATTGGGAGGACCGGGATCTAATCCCCACTTGGCCATGAAGCTCACTGGGTGACTTTTGTCCAAGGAAAAATAGTACATAAACTTCCTTGGGCTCTTCACAAGAAGAAAAGAGGGGGGATATGAAAACAATGTAAAAATAGCAGCACCAGCACCACATGACCCTAACTAGTGGCCACAGTGGCTGAAGTGACTGGAGTCTGGATTTTTTTTTTACCTGATGTGTTACTATAGATATCCGAGGGTTATCCAAATTAAGCCAGGAAGGAATCTGTCCATTTGTGACAATGAAGATGTGCCGCACCCACGGTGCATGCCTCTCTATCGAGCGCAGTGAATATCGCAGCTCTTCATTATCTTCAAAACGGCTGGCTGAAATATCTTCATCCTGTTTAGACTGTGGAAGATAGAGTGGCACAGATTATACTTAAGAATAGCAAAACAGGCCAAGTGGAGGCGCTGAAGAACTACCATTATTCAGTGAGGACACCAAAGAGTGCTTTGCCATGGTGGTTTGCCTAAAGGGGCTCATGCTAAATATAGGTACCAAAGGTTCCCTGAGAGACTCATTTTAAGAGCTCCAAGTTCTCCACGTGGGCAGTACTTTTATTAGGGCCAACCAAAATTTTACAAAATTGGGCAAGCTTGCAAATTCTTCAGAACTTCTCATCAGGCTTAATAGAGGAAGAAGCAGAAGCCCAAAATCTGGCCAAGTGCTATTGCTGTGAGGTCTCCAGTTTAGGTAGATTACCTACCACTAATTCATTCAGACTACAAAACTCCATTTTGAAACTGGATCTGTCTAAATATAGGGTTCATAGCCATAACACCTTGTCAAATTTTGGGGCTTTATTTCTTCCCATTCTTTTAAACCCTCTAGCTTGATGAAGAGTTCTGGAGAACTTAAAAGCTTTTGTGTAATTTTGGTTGTTCCTAATAAAAGTATTGTTCAACTGTGGATTTTTCTTCTCATGGACCAACATGAATATCTTTTTTTTAAATACCATTGTAAGAACCTATTCTAAAGCTATGAGCCTAGAAGCTGTTTTGCTTGGGCAATAGTTAGTCTCTTACTCTCAATGCCACTGTTGCTTCCTACTAGGTAGACCAGCTATATTGCAAGGGCAAATGCCCATGCCAAAGTATTATCTTTTTACAATATATATCTATGGACTAACCCTGGATTTCCAGTTCTGTCCTACTACAATTTAGCCTACAAATTTTCCAGAGAGGTGGTTTACAGTGACACCCCCAGAAACCGAAACAGTGATGATCTAAAAGGGTATCTGATATTTTGGAGAGATCCTGGTTTTTCCTCAAAAGTGGAAGTGAGCAGGAGTTTTGGGGCTTGTGAGCAGCTATCTCAACTAACTCTCTCTCTGATTTTGATGTCATCTGATACCGTGGCTCAAAGGGATTATTCAATGGAATGCTCCAGCAACCAACCCCCTTTATTGCATTCCACTGAGCTGGTGCATTCATAAGAAGTTCATAAAGAGATCTCCAGGCACATAATCTCTTACTCTGAAATAATGTTCCCTGGTTCTCATTCTTGTACCATTCCCACAGGATTAACTGTCAGAGGAACTACTGCATTTCAGGGATGGACAATGTTGTGTTATGTAAACATCTTGTCTTTAGGGCAGAGGTGAATAAAGTATGACCCTTCAGATGTCATTGGACTGCAAGTCCCAGGCTCCTTCATTATCGGTCATGTCAGCTGGGACTGAAGGTAGTTTCAGTGCAACAAAATAACTGGAGAACCACACCTTCCCCAACACTACTTCCAAGAAACCAAATAATGTAACTCTAGCAGCTGTTTTGCTCAAAGTTCAGTTCGGAAGTAAAGTGGTCTTTAATTCTCTAAAATCAAATGAGGCATCCTAACATCTAGCCCACAGATCTTTTACTGAAGATAAAAGGGCTGGTCTCATTTAAAATCAATATCTAACTCTGTATACGAGTGTGTCTGCCTGTACATCTGCACACAGACAACTACTTTAGAATCCATTTTTGGAAGAATCAAGGAAGAAAAAGTCAAAGGGAAGTCCAAAATGCTTACAGAAAGCCTTTGCATTGCCCAACACATTTTGAAACACTAGTTTCCTTCGCCAGGAGCTGCTTGTCTTTATCTAGTGGCACCTGACAAAGGAAACTAGTATTTCAAAATGTGCTGGACAAGGAAAAGACTTCTCAAGGGCACTTTGGACTTCCTTTTACTTTTGTCCCCTTTGGTTCTTCTTTCATACATGTGCCTTCCCTTTTTCTTTTTGTAGCTAGATTACTCTATGCCATAAAGAATACAGTTTTCAAATTGCAGCCAATTCGCTGCCAGTGATGAAGGATGCATTTTAACATAGTAAGATATATTCCTAATCACTAACTACTTAAACTTGTGACATACTGCCACAGTTGCAAATGCTGCCTACCTGGCTGATGGCACTGAGATCCCATAATAAATAGGCAGGATTAAGTGTCAGTTCTTTGCCTTCTATAGTCATGTTCTTCTTAGCCTGCTTGTTCAGCTCTTGGAACACTTTAGGGTCATTCAATTGCAAGAGGGCTACGCCAGCTTCCGAATAAAGCTGCAACTACACAGAGAAACAATATTTCAAGTATGGCATGCATCTGCATACAAAATTTTTCCTTCCCTTCATGACGCATTGACTGCACAATATTCTACCAGAACAATTAGCACTGAGAAGACAGAAAAGTTGATACAAAACTGTTCTCATAAAATGAAGCATTAAAAAATCAGTACCAGATAAGCCAAAGAACCATCATAGTGTTGTGTTACAGCATTGAACAACGACTAGCAAGATCCTGCTTCAAAACTCCTACCATTGCTCAGTCTAATATACCTCACAGAGTTTTTCTGAAAATAAAATGAAGGGATGCAAATAATGCAACACTTTGAACAACTTGGAGGAAAAACAGAATATACAAATAATAAATCGATGATTGACAGGAGGGATCTTTCTCAAAGGAAGACTGATAAATGAATATGAATATATAATTTTGTTGCATAATTCAGAAAATTCAATGTATTATTATTCCAGATTATCTTTATTCCACACTTATATCCTGTCTTATCTCAAAGGAGCTCTATGTAGTGTTCCTCACAACCATCCTGTAATAGATACAACTTACCTATTACAGAGAATAAGTTTTCAACACCCATCCTTTAAGATTCAGTCAAAAAGAGAACATTCAAGTCATAATTTCAGTAACACACTTGGTGATAATGTGCTTTCTCCATCTGTACTGCACTTAGATATCAAAGTTCCTGGTTTGCTGAAAACTTCGCTGTTCTATCTGAACTATAATAGTTTGAACCACCATTTCATACTGGCTTATAATCTTCATTTGGAAGGCTCACTCAAATCAATTTGCCAGTTCAAATGTTGACAGCCAATGTGGTGTGCAGGACTGGGACCTGAGCAATCTGGGTTGTAGTCCCCTTTTAGCTATGGAGCTACTGGCTGACTCTGGGCCAGTCACAGACCCAAATGGAGAGAAGGCCCATGTAAGCTCCCATGGGATCCTTGCAAAAGGAAAAAAAGCAGGATATGAATAAATAATAATAATAATAATAGGGAGAGAAGAGAATTATGTGAGCCACCTTGCGTTCCTAGGAAGGAAAAGGGCAGTACATAAGTGTAATAAATAAATAAATCACCATTGTTTAATCAGACCAGGGAGTTATCCAGTAAAACAAACAGAAGGGAAAAGAAAGGGAGAAAGGGCAGAGAGGAAGGGCATGTATGCAAACAGAATTCATTCCCAATTCTCCAAACTATGCTTTGAAGGATCAGGAATGTTGTATCTGAATTCTTTAAAGTATAATCCAGGATGGAATCTGGACTGATTTGTTTCCTTTAAAAATAATTTCATACTTCATGATCCTGTTACACCTAGTCTCCCAAAATAAGAACATTTAAACAGAATTTCCTATTAACAGACTACACCATATTCTGAAATGAGGTTTCCAAACAGTGGTTTGTTTAGCTATGTGCTCACCAATATACATTTTTAAGATGGCTTAAAGGATGTAGAAATCTGAGATACAAAAAGGCTTCAGAACTAATCCATCTGTAGGTCTTCTCTGCATCCTTGGCCAAGGTTGCCAATCCTCTGCTAAGGTCATTTGTTACTGGGGAACTGTTTGATCTGCTTGCTATTTTTATTGCCTGTCACCAGTTATTCTAGGTATCAGCTTTCATAATGGGCAAAATGAAAAGAGGTTTACTCTGGGCACTACATCTAGCAGCAAACACGGTTCGTGAAGAACAAGAATCAGTATTTTGCACTCAAAGCAATATTTTGCACTCAAAGCAAGTTTCAGCTGATTTTACTGGGTAAAACGGTAAATGCTAGGAAAAGCAAAAGTAATGCAGATAAGATCAGAAAGCTTCCTGGTATTTTGGAGCATTAAGACTATTCAGCTACATTTTGAAATGCCTCTAGTGGTATGGGGGGAAACCCACAACCAACCTAGGTAATTGGTTCCACTGCTGTCTTTTTTCTTACAATCAGGAAGTTCAACTGGAATCTGATTCCTGATGTTCAGCCAGAATCTGGCTTCCTGTAACCTGAGCCTGTTTTCTCTTATCCTACACTCTAGAATGATTGAGAAGAAATCCTGGCCTTCCTCTGCATGACAAATTTTCAAGTATTTGAAGAATGCTATCATAACTCCCTTCAGTCTTCTCTTCCCCATGCTAAACATGCCCAATGATTTCAATCTTTCCTCTGAGGGCTTTGTTCCAGTCCAAGGTCATCCTTGTTGCCCTCCTCTATACCCTTCCCAGCTTCTGCATCTTCCTAAACTGTGGTACCCAGAACTGGACATGGTACTCCAGATGAGGCCTAGCCAGTGCTGAGTAAAGGCGAACTAGTACTTCATTTGGAACTTATACTTCAAGGTGATACGTCACAAAAGGAAAAGAGTTGGTGCCTGCCTCATACATTTGGCTCAATCCCTACTAAAATCACTGAATGGTTCCTAGCCAGATATTGTCAGATTAATAAGAAATAACTATGTAAACCCTCAAATAAAGGCAAATCTAAGCCAAAACTTACCATTGTTATGACTGACTTTTGCCCTTCTCCTTTCAGATTTGTCCAGTTTACCCAACCCATCCCAAAGCAAACATAAGCCCAGCTGCCACACTTGTGATATTTGAATGCTGTAGCCTTGAATCCACCCACTACCCAATGGTTCTAAATCTGACCCATGAGGTCTTCCATTAGAAAGATCCAATATATTTCAACATTACATGGACAAAACAGTTGGATGGCCTCAGTAGTAGCTGAAAGGCAGAGTTAGAGAGAGCAGCCAGTGCTCTCCAAAAATAATTGCTGTAGGAATGCTACAGATTGCAAAGCTGCCATGAGCAATGTCACACCATCCCTTCCATGGCCCATCATCTAATGTGTATTTATGTACCAACTGGCAGAATTTTCCATTCCACCCAGGAAGATGGTATTAAAGATGTGGGATTTCTATGCATCTCATCTTCCACTGCCCTCTTGGCTAAGGAAAGACAAAGGAAGTGGCATTTTCCTCTAATGGAACAAAGGTCAGCTTTTCCCCTGGATGTCTCAATGACTCTGAGTCTGAATAAATAAAAACCCTGTAGAGAAAGACGTTTACACTCAGATGTTTAAACCATCCAAACAAAATGGGACAGCAAAGCAAAGAAGGATGACAAAATGATGAAAAGTGTAATAGAAATTTAGGAAAAGTATGAATGGTGGAGAGAAAGGCACTCCCGTTCTTCTAATACCAGAACTTCTAGTGACTGGCAAAAGGAAGTCCTCCATGCAGCAGAAGCTGGTGCCTCCAATGTCCATGGAGCTCCTTATCCATTGCAGTTTGCATTTTGAACTTTACAAGAGGTATCCACTCCAAAAACAAACAAACAAAAAGCTGCGATACATGAGGAGCCCCACAGATAGAGGGGACACAACCCACCCTTGACTTCACATAACATACCATTCTCTTAAGGACATAGGAAAATTCCTGCTGGATCAGACCAAATGTCCCTTCAGTCCATTATCTGTTTCCATAGTGGCTGCCCAGCTGCCTGTGGGAAGCTCACTCACAGGGCATGAAAGCAGTAGCGCACCCCCCCCCAGCATGTTCCCCAACAGCTGGCATTTGGAAGTGTTCTGCCTTTGATCCTGGAGGGAGCAGAGAGCCATCAGGAACAGCAGCCACTGTGGGGCCTTATCATACTCTATTCATTTGCCTCATCCCTTTTGAAAGCCACCCAAATTGGTTCTGGAATGTACCACCAGAGGATAGCAATTAAGCCTTGGTAGCTTTCAAAAAACAAAACACAACAACAACAACAAAAAAAACAGTAAAGAAAGGGAAGGAAAACTGCAGGTATATAAGAAAAATATTTTGGTGCTAGCCCTAGGATCAAAATATGCTTAGTATGGAGCTCATTTTTAAAATAAATATTTAAATCCAGTGTTTGGGGCCTTGATCAGAGGTTCAGTGTGCAAAGAGGGAAGATGTGCAAAGAGGTTCTCTCCACTACCACAATTTTACTGGTGCCACTGGGAGCCTAATAGGTAAGGGGAGTGAAAGTTCTGAACATCTGGTGGGCAAGTGGATAGCCATCTCCAGTCTAGGTGCTGTGAACCTTAATGGAATCATTTTTAAAATTCACCAGCAAAGACATCTGGGAAGTATCAGTACAATTCTCTTAATTTTAAGAGGTAATCCCCAATATTGTTTATAAATAACGATATTGCTGCAAGCTTCAGCTCTAGTGATTTCAGGAAGATCTTATTAGAAAGAAGTTAAATTTATTCATCAAAGGTTGTTGCCCCGTGTATTCTGCTCAGTTCCAGTCTTAACATACATTTATACAGTCTGCACTTAAAGTTCAGTCCCTTCTAACTAGAACTAAGCATTTAACAAATTGCTATTTTTAACAAATATTGTGAATAAAACATTTTAAAATGCTAACCTATAATATAGAGAGTTACAAGTCAGGTACGCAAGTTTGAAATCACTACCATGGCTGAAAACATCTGGACAAACATGAGTTTTCTTGGTATCACTATTATAAGCTCTTTTAAACTTTGTGAAACATTTAGGAATATATTAGTCTTAACTACATTTATAGCAAAATGCAGATTTAAAATCCAGGCATCAAACTTTCTGGCCCAAGAAGGGACAAGTTTGGAATATTTATTTATAGGTTACCCTTGCAAAACCTTGGGACCCAAGCATTCACAACAGTGTTATGGTGACACCTAGTGGTCAAGTCTTACTTTCTATGCAAAGTTATCCCCTTTTGGCCATTCTACAAAACAGGAAATGCTACAAATACTTAGTTCTAACTGAGGGGAAAGAGGAAAAATTGTATCTTCTACCAGTTACAGCTAGTGGCCCAGCTACACTTCCATCTGGAAAGACATGGCCTGATTTTAGTAATTTGTGCTCTGGTAACCTCTCAATTATTTTACAACTATGTACTTTACATGGGACTGTACCTAAAGACTGTTCAGAAGCTGAGTATGTGCAAAATGTAGCAGCCAGATTAATTACTGCGACCAGAAGGGCTGAATACATGAGTCCAATTCTGCCCCGCTTATTTTGGCTGCCTACATACTTGAGGTGAATTCATGGTGCTGGTTGTGAGGATTGGGACCACAATATCTCATGGAACACCACTCCTGAACTCAGCCTAGCTAGACACTGTAATCTGCCTCTGAGGCCTTCCACCAACTGTCACCTCCAAGGGAGGCCTGGAAAGAAATAACAAAGACGGGGGCCTTCAGAGTGGTGTCCCCCCCCCCCCCAATCATGCAACATTGTTCTCTTTTCAGCGTCAGGTTAAAACTGCCTCCTACTTTCAAACACTGAATGGCATGTGATGAGATATGTCAGTTGTTTTAATGAGGTCTACTTTTTATTTATTACAGATGTTGTAATTTTTGTATATTAGCATTTTACACTGTTTTATTGTATCCAAATTTTATTGTATCCATTTTTATTACTGTATTTTGAGAAATTGTGAATGGAGCTTCAGCCATAGGGTGATATAGAAATAATAGTAATAGTATTAATAATAAATCTTTGGGTTAGAGGCAATGTTTCAAATAGGAATTGACCATTTTTGGTCCATCTATGATAACAGCATTGCTATAGTATACCTCAGCAGCATAAGATCAGATTAACAAAATTAGTATGAGTTGAAGGAGAAATATGGAAAAATGGTTGAGTTTTAGCAAAACACTCACTCTATTATTCATGATTCCCTGCTAGAATTTGCTGCTTAGGTATCTAGCCAGTCTTGTTGCTTAGGCTTCAGTAATCTTACCTGCTTTATCTTGGAAGCAAGGTTTTCAGGCAGTTTTGTTCTTAATTGACTAGTCTCCTTGAATGTCAGTGGAAATCCTTTGAGAAAAACCAAGTCTTGCATTAGCACTAAACCAGGAACTTCTTTGTCTGTAGTCTGCAAGAAAAGAAACTTTGCATCACTTCTTAATTTTTTTAAAGACTAACATGGATTTCTTATGTTGTCTCCAAAAGAGAGCTCTAAAACTTTTGGGTAATGAACACAAGCTCTTTTAAACATTGTACTGAGATTATTTAAGAATTACACTTGAAAGTATCACAGGCATTACACAAATATTACAGCAAACAAAGTAATATTAAGAACTCAATGGCTTACATCTTTCTTTTAAACACCATTGTTTCTAGTAAGATTATATCCCAGATTTGTAGAAAATGCTCTAATTACAATTTAAAAGTAACCTACCAAATAACCTCTCCACACTGCTTGCCTGTTGTTCTCCTTTAACATCTCAGTATGGGCCTCTTCAGCTGAAAAAATTAGGAATTCAAATCACAGGTCAATACATTAAGACACTGCAGAATTTTAAAAATAGAAGATTTCACATATATTTTGTATGCCATGTTAAAAGTGGAGAAGAATGGTGCTTCCATGAAATTAGATTCACCAGAAGATTCTGGAGAATGCCATTTAGGGCTGTAAATTAGTAAGGAGAAGTAAGAAATACAGCTAGCATCTCCATATGAAAAATGCTCTTCTAAAAGCCATTGTTCTTGGGAGAATGACAGAGTACAAATAAATAAATCAATGACAAAACATATGCCTTTGCTTCATTGCATCAATACCTATAATCATGAATGTCAAGGAACAAGAAAAGTAATTTGATTTTGAATAATAGGAAAGAGTATACAAAACCTCACCTCTCAGATATAATGCAAACCCATGGTATGGGTTGCTAAATTCTGTGTTGTTGTGATGTATGAACCCAACTGAACTATCAAACCATGGTTTGTTAAATATGAAGAATACAAAGAAACCATGCTTTGTTGTTGAGTTGTGAACAATGGGTTGTTTAAATCATGGGCTATCATTACGTGTAAACCCTGAACTGTGGGTTTTGTATGGATTGTTTCAACCAGGCTATAGAGTTGATGGGTAAGACTAAGAGTGGTTAAAAAAAGTATCTGCTGGTTTACAAACTAGCACTACTGCTGGGCAAAAGAGAAGAGGAACAAATTATTATGGGATGGAGAAAAACCATTGAGTATGGCAACAAACCATGGGATGGCATTACATGTGAAAGTAGATGTCTAACATTAGGAAGGAGGATGACAACATGTACTTCATTTTGCTCAGCTTGAAGAGTATGTATTTTCTCTTTTTATATTTTATATTTCTATATTTAAGAAATTGTAACCAGCTGATCTTTAAATAGCAAACTCATTCAAGAACTGTTTCTCTGTGTTAAGATGTTACTTATATTAGGTTAGTCCAACCAGTATTTTTGTGTATAAGGCTTGGACACCTAATTACTATGTGTAGATTCCCTCCCCCAAACCTGATATTAGTAGATCAAGTTTCTAGAACATTTAAGGAAGCCTTATTTACATTCTCTTTGCTTACTAATTTTATCCAATGACATCTTTAATCACTGCAATGACAAGTAAAAAAATATCCCTGACAGAACAGCCTGAAAAAAACAGTAATCCTATGGTAAACCCAAACAATGTGTTTTCAATCAACATAAAAAGACTAAAACAGATATTTACCTTCTTTAGCATCGCCAAAAACAACCACAGTAACATTGGTAGAAGGGTTTTTTGGCTTTGCAACAGGAAAGATATTGCTGGCTGACCGCAGTGGGGGATGGACAGTTGGCAGGTCCTTGAGAGTGATGTTGTTCGGCAAAGCAGGGTCGAAGACTAGCATAGGCACTTTGATGCAGTGCGTCAGTAAACACTCCAGTTGCTTCTCACTAGGATCAAGATATCAGTCAAAGGGATGCTTGCTCTTGGGTTCAGTGCTGTGTGTGGCTATTTGTTTAAAAGCATCATTGGATTACAAAGCACCCGAAAATTGGTATTGCCAATTGGCATTTTCTTTAGTAACTTTGGTGAAATTATATGCTGCAGCAAATTTGTAATTAAGGTGGCATAAAAGAGAATTCTCGAGATTACACTATATGGCATACAGCAGAGGAGGGTAAGCTTCAGCCCGTGGAATTGCCCTTCAGTTGGGCATCCTCCATGGTCCCTGCCTCCCCACCACAAGTCCTCCTTCCTGCATCTTAGCCCCTCTACCAAATGAGCGAGGACCTCAGAACGTCTTACCCTGAGAACATTAAAAAATAAACAAGCAACATCTTGAGGTTGTTGCTAGGCTCTGAAGACTGACACAGCTCCTCCTGGTAAGGGCAGCACCCTGCCAGTGCCTGCAGGACCAGGAGCATACCTAAGGGTCCTTGCAAGGATCAGGGCCTGCATAATTACACAGTGCAGCTGGGATCCTAAAAGGCTGCTCAGCTTTGCCACAGCAACAGGGGCGTTTGTGGAGAGTGCTTTGTGTTCCTGATCCAGTCTTGCCTCAAGCTATGCTTTGATTGCTGCCTGCTCTGGACTCTGCTCTTGGCCGCAGTCTGACCCTGCCTTGCCAGGTACCTGCTTGATGCCTTGGCCTATGATCCTGCTATGCCCTGGTGGTACCTGACCCTTGCCTACTTCTATTGGTTTATGTCATTCTTGATACATTGCATTTATATCCCTCTTGTTTTTTCCCTTGGAAAGAACCCATGGCAGTTTACTTAACTCCATTTTATTCTCACAATAACTCTGTGAGTTAGGTTAGGCTGAATGTGAGTGACTGGCCCAAAGTCACCCTAAATCTCCCCTAAATCTCCAGTCCAATGTTCTACCCAACACACCACACTGAGTCTAAACTTGCCTTGTTCTCTGGCTCTGCTGCACCTTGTCAGCTTCTGGCAAGAATATTAATAAAAGAAATACTTACTTTTGATGATTCAGGAAACTCTACTAGTCCTTCTGGTGGCTTTATCTTGATTCGTTTTAGATACATTTCTCTCATTCAAAATGACATATACTCAGCGTTAACTGAACAATATGAACGATTAAAAAATAACCACCACCATCCCCAAAACCCTGTAAGTTATTTTTTACCTCTTCTTTGTTGGCTCTGTTGTGTTCTTTCCAAGAATTTCCCTAAAGAACAAGTGAAGGCAGACCCATTATACCCACCTGAAACATACATACATACTTCATTCACTCACCTCACCCTAAAGCTTTTAGCAAAAGTTCATTAAACGGAATGCTTCCCCTCACAGCACTGCAGGGACAAATCATTAACCTTCTCCCTACCATGTTAACAGTAAGGACACAGGAGCAATCACAGTGATGTTACCTCACTTAGGGCACCATCCTGTGGGGATGCACATAACCCTCTGGATTCACAGGAATACAGCAAAAGAAACACAGAGGCACAGGTCACCTCCATGCACCTCCCAATCTGCAAAACAGCTGATTTGGTCACCTAATTGTGGTATTTTGGAGTGGGAGTGAAGGAAAATTAAATACCAGGACACATCCTGTCTAAACCCCCATCTGAAATCACTGTTGCAACCTTGGGGAAGCAGCTCATGCAGTTCTTTGAAAGTGGCAGATGGGAGCTGAGGATAGATTGCCAACTCCAGGGTCACAGCACTCTTCTGATCTCGAAGTTGGGATTCTGAAATTGGGAATCTGAATCTTATGACTGCCTAGAAGCTTTAAGACTACTTTGTTAGAGTCCTATACATACCAGGGTAAGTTCCACTGAAGTCAGTGGAACCTACTCCCAGGTTATAGGATTGTAGCCTTAAAGATGGTAAAGCTGAGGTTAGACAACCTGGCGCCATCCAGCAGTCTTGAACTACAACTCTCATAATCCCTGAGTATTGGTCATATTGTGCTTATAAAAGTCCACTGAAAAGAGCACTCCCTTTCTCTGAGACCATTTTTGCACATAGCCTGCAAGATTGCACTGGCAGAATGAGAAACAGAAAAGCGGGTAGGGTGGAGAGGATGGAAAAGCAAGAGGCTTGCCTGAGAAAGCACACTTTCATGCCCTGGTATAACCCTAAAAAAAGGAGCTTGTGTGAGAGATACATAAGCTGTGGGTCTAAATGAGCTTGATGTAAGTTCCCTTTTCGAAGGCTACCCCAGAAGCACTCAAGTAGAAACTGCAACTCTAGTACATCTGGTTCCGTCAGAAACAGACAAAAGTAAAACTCTCTAAAATGAAATGTCTCTGGACAACTCCAACTGGCAATGAACAGGCAAAACAAAGCTAGGAGAGGCAAGGAAATTAAATGAGCAGGAGGAGTAGATGGTTGACAATTTTTGACTTATTTTTCCACTGGTAATACATGGCAGGAGAATCAGAAATTTCCAGGCTCATGGACTGTTCTGCAAAAGCCCAGGTCAGAGAGGCTCATCACCTTCATGTAAAGCAACTCTTTTTAAAAGAAAAGCTTCCATTTTTCTAGCTTTTCTGCCTCCAGCTAGGACAACTTGTCTGACTGCGCTTCCAGCCAATAATACCTACCTCATTATTCTCTGTTCTTCCTCCATCTGTTTCCTCACTTGTTGTAGTTCCCTGATGAGCTCAACATCTGTGCCATTCACCCAGGTGTACACCACATCAATAGGCATTGGCAAGCAAAGCCTACAGAAATTGCATTGAAATAAGAAAGGCCGGAGGGGGGGCGGGGAGAGAGCAAGAAAGATAGCTCTGCTTAGATTGTCCAGAATTAATCTGAAAGGCATTTCAAAGCAATACAGATTCCATTCTTCTGCAAATAATTCCACTGAAACTCATGCAAGATTAATGAAAAACATATTCTTATATTTGGCACATTTAAATAATTCAGTTAAACCCTCTGTTCCTTCACCAATTACTCATCCTTATCAGTTTGCTGCTGCAAACCACAGACTTTCGCAGCACTTCTTGCTCCTTCTTCACCTGCTTCTTGGAGACTTCTTAAAACTCTTTAATTTCCTGTTTTGTTTTGTTCTTTCCTTTTTAATGTAGTATTTCTGAAATGTTTTTCTGGTGGGTGAGAGGGCTTCCAACCTTATCCTGTCACCTGGAGGTCCTCCAACACAGTACCATGTATATTTAACCTTGTGCCTGCAGCCTACTGTCATATGTAAAGGGACAAGGTAGGACTCGGAGAGTTAGTTATACAAGTCTAACTAAAAAATGGAACAGAGCAAGATGCCTAAACTGCCCCCCTCCCCATGCAAACAGTTCTTTTCAGGTTGATGTGGTAGGTGTGGAAGCAGTCACCACCCCCATTTCACAGACACAGATCCAGTGTGAGCCAATGATGATCTTCCACTTGAAGAAATTTAACTTATCCATGTCTCAGCCTATGGGGAAAAGAAGATTCCACTTGGTCCAGGGTCCTATTTGGCCAAGAAACTTTGCTCCCATCTGCCTTGCATTCCCCCATGCCTTGACAACCTCTGTTTTAATTCCTAAACTCATCCTTCAATTCAGTTCAGATCACCATGCTGGCCACCTTCTCCTGTGTAGTTTCCCCATGTGCCTAAGACTGCAAATCTTATAGATGGTTGCATCCTGCATGTTTCATCCCTTTCATAAAACACTTAGCCATGTTCCAAATAAAATAGGAGGAGGAAGGGGGAAAGTGAAGGTGTTTCTGTTTTGCAGTTATCTTCAAAGCAAACTGAGCACATGTTTACCCAACAGAACATAAATGAGACAGTGTAACAGAGCTTGCCATTAAGTGAGCGTAAAGGGTTCTCCTGGATCCATGGTGGCAGCTTTCCTCCAACCAGACACTTTCTAGGTGTATCAACTACAATTGCCATGTCTGCCAGCCAGCATGGTACCAGACTGGGAAGACTGTAGTACCCATTTTTGATGGGGATAAGAGAGCAGAACTAAAACAGAATCTACAGAAATTTTGGAGACACGAACAAACAAGAATAAAAAACACGAATACATTATAATAAAAGAGTAGCTAAAATTTAGAGAACCAGTGTGATGTAGTGGGTAAGAGCATGGAACTGGGGCTCAGGAAATTGGGGTTCTAGTCCTTGCTTAGCCATGGAGCCAACTGGGTAACTTTGGGCCAGTCACAGACTGTCAATCCAAACTACCTTGCAGGATTGTTGTTGTGGGGATAAGATTGAAAGCAGGAGGAGAATGAGGTGAGCTGCTTTGAGTTCATTAAAAATAAAAAGGTAGGGTATAAATCTAATAAATAAATAAATTTTAGTGATTCATTAGAAAATGCCTGCCTGAAAAGAGAAGTCTTCAGCAAACATGGAAATGAAAACAATGAAGTCAACACACAAAAGGCCCTACTCTTGGTGGTTTCCAAGTGGCTCTCCAACTCACATGAAAATGGAATCACCAAGAATATATATATTCAAAGCTTCCAATCTGAGTAGTTTTATTACTATTCATTAACTTAGAATGAATGTAGTCCAAGTTTTCATGTCCTAGAAAACAATCTTAACCTGAAGTACCTGATCCTGCTTAATTTTGGAAGCTAAGCAGGGTCAGGCCTGGTTGAAATACGGATGGGTGACTTAGATGTTGTGAACTGCCTATGGATTTGGCTACCGGTGGTAATGTAATGTAATTTAATGTAATGCAGTAACTCTTTATTACTGATTAATTTTGAGGAGACAATGCATTTTTAGACCAGCACAACTGTCCACCCCTTTTCACCATGTGACACAAGCATCCAAAGCCAGCTACCTGTAGAACATAGGCAACCAAAGCCCTGCATGATTTTGCTTACACATATTGGTGAATTTTTCCCTTACAGGTCTGCCATCCTGCTGTCATCAGCCTACCTGCAGCATGCATATAGCGTGCCTGCAACAATGCAGCACCTTCCTTTTCAACAAGCACCACCATCAACAAGCACCCATTTGGCTGTCCTAGCAGACTTAGGAACTCCAAGTTCTTTGATCATATACAAAAATATACTGTGTTCAGTATTCTTAATACTCTGCGACTCAACATTCTTATACCCCAAAATAGCTGTATCTTTTAATTACGAAGAATAGAATTCATTCAGTAGGCAGGACAACAGTCTGCACAGCTGTACAAACCAAAGATGCGCTCAGGCCAAATAACAACAGATTTTTCAAGTGCTGATCTGAACTGGCAAGTGGCTCGAGTTAAATTTGGCAACCTTGGAGAATTTAATTCTAGTTAAGGGAAATTACATGTTTATTGTATCTGCCCAATCCTTGAAATGCTGGCAAGCCATTAGAGACTGCTACTTATCCAAACACATTTTATATCATTTATTTTTAATCATCTGGCTTACACAAAGAGACTGGCAGACACTTATGACATGATACCAGGCGTGCTACAGAAACAAATGCAAATTCCTTTCTCTCTGTCTGCAGCTTTAAATACTGTTGGCAGGGATGTAATGAAGAATGGCTCTTGAGTAGCTCCATTTTTCCCTCTTCAGGAGGAATAGCTCCAAGACACTCAGAGATGCTCTGAGGAAGGGAGGCAGCTCAATGTTGGAGCACATGCATCCAAAAGATCAAGCTAAGTCCCAACCAGCTATTGGCTTGCTGAGCTATAAACAGGAAAGTCTCCTGCCAGAGACTCTGGAAAGAATGCTAAACTGGATGGACCAACGGTTTGACTGGATATAGTGCAGCAACCTAAGTTCTATGCATTACACAGAGGTACTGAATGTTTTCTCACCTATAAAGCACTCCGTTTCTAGTAGGCTAGTACATCTAGAAAAGAGATGTAGCTAATTTGATGATGTGTTAGCTTATTAGAGGCTTTTCTATGTGGAAGCATTACAATGTTATAGCATATAACCCACCAATAGTTCTACAAATTCAATCAAACTTATGTGCAATATGTGTATCTATTCTCAGGCAGTGTATATCATGGGTCAGTTCTCTTTAAGTCATATGCAAGGCAATTAGCATAGTTCAGGAGAACATTTAAATTGTATCAGTATAAATCAGTGACATAGCTCAGAAATGTTTCTGTAGAAATCTTCCCACTATATTTCTCTATGGACTTTTTTCCACTTTTAGAAATGTACTGTTTCATAAAGTGAATGACTGGGTACAAATGGAAGTAAAACTGGAAGGGAAGGGATATAATACTGGTCAAATCGAAATTAAATCAACTGAGAATTACTAAATGTGTCTCATTGCAATAGGACTTCAAAGACTGTATCTTATTTTTAGAGAAGTTTAATTTTAGAACATTTTCTGTTGATTTTACTGAACATTAAAGATTTCAAACTATCACCCTGATATTATTTGGAGAAATTACTTCAAAGGCTAGTTTGGTATAACGATCCTGAGGATTGTAACCTTAGGAATATTCTAACAAAATATTCTTCTGATATCAGCCATATTCACTGATGTGCAGAATGTGATAACAGAGACCTCAGACAGCTCTGCCCAGCCTGGTATTGTTCAGATGCTTTGGACCAGAACTCCCAGCATTCGTCTCCATCGGTTATGCAGGTTGGAGCTGACAGTATCTGAAGTCCAAAGTGTCTGAAGGGCACCGAGTTACAGATTAGGCCAGCAAACAGCTCCTTCCATCTTACAATCATTTGCAGTTTTTACTGATCTGTGACTGTTAGGAAAGAAATGTATTTAGAATCTGAGGTCAAGTCAGATGACAATGACAAGTGAGTAGTCTATATGATTCAAGAATTATTCTGTTATGACTAGCAATTTCCCTGGCCAAAAACCTTCAACTTACCAAATTACCCAACCTTTTTATTTTATTTGTTTCCTTTTGCTTTCTTGTCTTCCAGCATGTACTTACCAAATAAAACCCACAAAGGACCTTAAGGAACATACATAGCTGCCTATGTACTGTATGGCACAAACCTCAGAACTGGCCATTGAAGCACTCCAGAGGTCCCAGACTACGGTGTGTAGCACCCCCTAGCCACAGTTGTGCAAAGCAGAGTGGGGAGGGTCCTGGATTGCCAGATCCATTTTCTTTTTTAGTACTATGCTAGGGTCGGCCAACCAGAGTCATGCATAAAATGGTGGCTCATGGACAGAGTTGATTATCTACTGCATCCATGAACCATATATGATCAAGAACTGGGGTTTGCCTCCAATTGCCACTTCCAAGGGAGGCTCAGATGGTACCAACAAGAAGGACTGGCTCGGTGGTGACTCCCCAGTATATGGAACAAGTTCCCTAGTGAGGTCCACTTGCAACAACTTTAATATTTTATCAGTGCCAGGTAAAGACGGTACTATATAACAAGATCATTAATTAGTTTTATATTACACTGGGGCATTATGGCAAGGGTTTAAAAGGACTGTAATTTAAGAACTGTAAGCTACTGTAGCATTATACATTTACGTTTAAATTTTCATTTTGTATTGGATTTTTTATGTTTGTGCTATTATTTTGTATTTTTATATTGAATTTTTTCTGTTGCTGTAATTTGCTCAGAGTTTTGGCTATTGGGCAGTACTGAAATAATAATTATAATAATAATAAATATTGGCACAGATACAAATCTACAAGTGTGTCACCAGTGAACAAGGATGCTTTTATGATTGCAGAGTTAGCCGGCTAACCCGAACAAAGACCTGGTCAAAAACAATCAAGTAGGACATGTATTTTACAGATGAGAAACACACAGATTGACAGATAAGTGATTAACCCCAAGCCAGCCATGCCAGATATTGTTTTCCTTGCGATCTTCCTTGCTCTACTTAAAGTATTGAGAATCAAAACCCCTTGGAAATCTAACTCAAATTACCTGGAAATCCACCTGTAAGACCCTAGTCTATCCTTGATGTAGACAAGCCAGGAGCATGTTTTCAAATTGCTGCAGCATCACAAAGTGATTTGCTGCAATGGGAGAAATCCCATTTTATGTATCAGTTAAGAGTATATCTCTAAAGCTCTGTGCCTTTTAGGGACAACTGGCATTCCCTGGGCAATGTGCCCAGTAACACACAAGTTGCATCCCCCAAATCTGCTCCACATTGCACTTAGGAAAGCCTCACATACTGTGTGGAAAGAAGCAAAAGATTCTGTCTGCTCCAAAGTACGGTGTGACTGTAGACATCCCTCTTCCAAATTGTCAGGGACATGCTGTAAACTCATGCAGCAAAATGCAGTGCTACTTTTCTTGTTAGAAAAGTGGGCAACAAATCCAAGCAAGCAAGCTAGGCCATTGTCTGCCTATTTGAGGCAGACTGAGAATTTGTGGGAAGAAGCAGTGCATGCTACACTGTGACGGGGAGTCAGAGATGAAGGGGAAAGCCTAGAATCATACCTGACAAACAGACCAAAATCCGTAACAGCTAGGAAGGCTGTGGTTGCTCAGGCATAAGAACTGAAGCAAAGCCCTGTGGGATCGGACCAAGGGTCCATCTCACCCATATTCTGTTCACACAGTGGCCAACCAGTTGCCCACAGGAAACCCCCAGCAACGTCTTCCTGCCCAAGTACTTCAGCAACTAGTGTACATAGGCAAAGTACCTCTGCTACTGGAGGCAATATATAGCCATCAAGACTAATAGCTATTGACAGCCTTCTCCTGCAAGAAATAACCCAATTTACTTTCTAAAACCATCCAAACTGGTGGCCATTGCTACATCTTGTGGAAGTAAATTCCATAGTTTCACCGTGAGCTACATAGAGACGTCTTTGTAGTGGTCAAAGTCCCAGTCCGGACAGCAAGCCCTACAGAGTAGAGTTCAGAACATGCAGCTTGGGGCCAAATCAGGGACTCTCAACCCTACCCAGAAAGGCACACCCTCCTGCAGCTACATCCCCATTCTCCTGACTACCAGTCATTTTATGGTTTCTAGCTTTGGTGCAGTTTCCTACATTCCCAATTTTAAAAAGCTGAAACACCTCTCGTAAGTTATAGTTACTAGGAGTAAGGATGTTAAACTGGAATATGATGCTATTTATTTTGTATCTTGCCCTGTCCTTTTTGCCCAACCCCTTTTGGGCCTCTTGAAAGTGTCTTCAAAGCATATTCAGGCCCAACACCCTCACTTTTGAGCCTTTCCTGTCCATGGAGGCCCAACCCAGATGGATTCAGCCAGTCCAGAGCTGGAAAATAGTTTACTGCCTAGAGAAGATGTTCCTCACTGCAGTTCTAGTGGCTTATTACACTGGGCTGCTATGCACACAGCCAGAAATCACTGGTCCTTGAGCCTGTGGCTCACGACACATTGACCTCAAGGTTCTTCTGCCTTGGCACACCAAAAATAACTTCCCACCCTACTTCCAAGGCTGTTGCACACATACTGGAAGACTTAGGATTGGGGACTGGAGGAGGGTCAATGGTAACCACAAATACTGGCTACATAATAAGGTAAGCCAAAGCCTTGCAGGCTGTGATTCAAAGGTACACAAGATTTTTTTCCTGAAAGGTTGATAGTATCTGACACAGATACAAACAGAACACATTTACATATATAGTTCAATCCATAATATTAACAGATTATCAAAGTGGCAGGGAAGGAAATGGAAAAGGCTTATTGCTATTGGCCAGATTCCCAGCTCAGGAAAAAGTGCATTGACACCATTCCTCTCAGAATGTCAGCCATGCTATCAGAGATTAACCAGACAAAGGAAGGTTGGAGAGAAGTGGCATCCTAACTTGTTGGGTACTTTTCCTCAAAACCCAGACTGTTTCAACATTGTTGACTTGAACAAGGGAAACTGCTGGAGATTTGCTGAGGTTCATAAACACAATGGTAAAAGCCACCGTCATTCCTGATCTGAGCCATACCTGTTCTGAAATGATTTCCCAGCAACGTTGTCTCTATATGAGTCAAACAAAACATGATACTGGTCTCGGCTCCACTCAAGGACAACCTACAAAGAAAGAATATTTGGGAATTTATTCTCACTGCTGGAGCACTCTCTTGGCATTTAAAGTCAGTGATGCCAATCTTCAAAAGGAAGCTTATTGCAGAAAATAACACTGAGCCATTTATTTGCCCATGTATGAGAAAGGCAATTATTTGTTTTGGCCAGTCTTGGAAAAGAGGGGAAGTTCTCCACCTCATACATACAGGCATATAAGATTCTGAGTTGATGGGCTCACCCAGCCATGTGACATTGACAAAGTACTGTGAATCAGGGGTAGGCAGAAAGCAGATTTCCAGAGTTTTGGACTTCAACATCCCGAAGCACCAGCCAGCATGGTCAGTGGTCAGGAATGCTGGGATTTGAAATTCAAAGCATCTGCTTTCTGCCCACCTCTGCTCTAAACTGCACCATGCATATGTTAAATTTACAAAATCAACACAGCTCACAAGTTTAAAGGATAAGACATTCTGTTCTTTAAAAACAAAGCAAGCCACTCATAGAACTACAATCTTCATACCTGAATCTCTTATCTCCTGCTTCTTAGTCCCTTATCTCTACAGCAGCAAGATACACCAAACGCCTCAGTTCCCCAGAATCACCCTGAAATTCAGACAGCCCATTATGCTCTTCTTCTGAAGAACTTACTGATGACTATAGCTCAATGGGTTATTATTGGACCAGTTTAATCACATTTAATGTTGTAAACACATTGTGTGATCCAACTTTAAACTTTAGTCTGGAACTATGAAATAGAAACTGGTATGATACAAAACCTATCAGACCTCATGCATTGCACTGACACAACAATCACCAGACCAGCACTGTCAGTCAGCTGGTAGAGACGCTGACAAGATCTGGAGCTGATCTTTTCACTGACATCTCAGCAGATAGTTTCCAAGCTGTAGTTTCCAGAGGTCTTGCGGGGTGGGAGGAAGGGAAAGAAGAGAGGCCGTCCTCACCCACTGTGTGCCTCCGTCCTGTGGCTACAGCCACCCTCCCTGACCTCTGTCACCTTGCCATGCTCCACCTCTTTGCCCCTTTTCTTTTGTGGCCATCAGCCCCCACACTGAATCTCCCTAGCAGTGGCATTCTATAAAAATTAAAAGTAACACTTCGCATTTCCATAACACTTTAAAACATCCATAACACTTCTCATGCATATCCTTACAACAACTGGATAAAGGAAGTTGGTACGATCACCATATGGTGACCTTTTTGAAGAAGTAAACATTCCAGAAGTAATTGTGTGTAAACAATCCTACCCCATTCTCATGCACTGCCCCCCCCAAAAGTGGACGGAGGATAAAGTGATGCAATTTATAGGAAAGGTGGCATAATGAAAAAAGACAATTATGCCTTGAATGCTAACATGGAGGTATGGAGTTGCAGCTCAGATAGACAAAGAAAGCTGCTGCTAGAGATCCTGTAGGGCTGCTAGACGTCCTGCGCAGCAATCTTCCATGTAAACAAGCCTTAGGATCATTCTCAGGGTCCCTTTCCCTGGGCTTTTCTCCGCCATCAGAAGCAAGGTGGCTGTCTGCCAGACAGGGGGTGCAGGGCCTTCTTAGGTGTGAGACCATAATACTTTAGGCTGATTTTTTGTTTTTGGCTTGTTTGACAGTGTCTGCTGAGCTGCTCAATCAGTTTTCCACAACGCTGCACCTTCCAGAGGTACTGGCCTACAAATCCTATCACGCCCTGTGAGCATGGCCAGGTCTGGGGATACTGGGGCTGTAGTCCTACGCTTCTGGAGGGCATAAGGTTGGGGACAATCATGTTCTATGAGTCTATGTTAAAATGTATGTTTAGTGGGCTAAATCCAACATTATGCAACAGAGCAGAAGTTTCTCTTTCTGTCTTCTCCCACCCCTGCAGCCCCTGTTTGGGAGGCACAGAAAAAGAGCACAAGCAAGGGAGACGGGCACAGTTTGGGAAAGTGCAAGAAAGTCACAGGCAGAGAAAATTGAGAGGGCACAGGAAAAATACAATTAAAACGGCTATCAAACGGGAAGGGGAGCATGCCACATGCAAGAGCTGAGTGGTGATACTGAGAAGGGCAGAGAGTATGCAAAGAGCAGGGAGTCCCGTAAAAGCAAGGGAAAAGTAATTACAGAGCAACAAGTTCTGTTTTAGACCATAAATATATAGGAAAGACCCTCAAAAAGGTGCATACAAAGGGAGAGAGAAAGTGGGAACTGTAGGAGGGTGAGCAAGGTGAACCTTAAGAGTTACCTGAATGTCAGGCAGAAATCCAACAGGTGAAGCGTTTCCTGGCACCGTGGTGCAATGCTGAAAATCCTTCCTGCTGTTATGCGGCCCAAGAAGGCCCTACCGCTGGAGATCAGGAGGAAGGAAACGGGGGCACTGCAATTGGGAAGAAACGGGGCGCTGCACAGTAGGGAAGCCTGGCACACTCCAAGAAAAGAGGAAGAATAGCAGGATCTAATGGAAAGCGCAGCCAGGGAGAGGATCTTGGAAACGAGCAGAGAGTGCGGAAGGGGAGAGAAAGCAAAGGTGGTGGAGGGGAAGAGAGACGAATTTGGGGCGCATGCAAAGAGGGCGCACGCTTGGGTAGACACTAGCCAGGCGTCCTCAGCACCGGGCCGGGAGGTCGCTGCTCACCTCTCCGAACTGCAGGGCGGAGACGATCATGAGGACGATGCCTCCGAGGCAAAGGCAGGGCCCATACCTGTGGGACAGGCAGGTATAGGTCTGTCTCTGCAGGAGCTTCAGCAGCATGGCCCGCCGGCCACCATCACCTGACAGCAGCCTGCGATGCCACCTTTGTCGCAAGCGGCCACAGGCCAATCCTCGCCGCCGCCGCCTTACCCCGCAGCCGGGCGCATCGCAGAGGCCGCTGCTTCCGGGAACGGGCGGGCTCGACGGCTCCACCTACGGAGGCTTGGCGCCACCTACGGGTCTGCTCCGGCCGGCCAGCCAGCCAGCCAGCCAGCCAGCGAGCGACGCCGTTCTGCAGGAGCGGGAGGGACTCGGCTGCGGGCTGGGAGGGACGCCGCCGCTTCAGCTCAGCCTGCGCTCGTGCTTCGCAGCCCGCTACGGATCGGCCTTCCCTGGCAGTGCAGCGGGGGGACAGGTGAAATGCACACCCCAGTGGAACTGTGCGGGGTGATGGTGAGGGAGAGAAAGAGGCTGTCGGAAGCGCTGAGCAAGCTGCCTGTAGGGCATCCCGCTTCGGCGACTGCCCGGGAGCGTGCATGCCCGCAGCCCGCCACGCGGCTTCTTCCTCCGCGTGTGACAACCACGTGCCGCACTACTGTATTTGCCTAATCTCCCTTGTGGCCGCATGGTGCATGGTTTCTCCCGCCATCTGAACCTGGTGAGGTGAGCAGCGGGGGTGACTGAAAGCACCCCAGAACCCATGGCTTGTTGTCGGGCCCCCAGTTGTCTACCTCACCAGCACCATGAGGGTGTAAGACAAATATTGCAGCATGCAATCGGTCTGTGTAGGTGCAGGGAAAAGAAGCTGCAGCGGCTTCCTCCCCCCCCCCCCACCCCCAGCCCAGCCCAGCCCAGCCCTATGGGGTGGTGTGAACTTGGCCTTTGGGTTCACAGTCATGAATTAGGCCTCAGTTTTAAGAGAGCAACTTCATGTTGCACTTGGTAGCACTGCTTGGACTGGAGCATGACTAACTGACCAAATCAAACAGTGAGAAAGACACACTCAGAGAGATGACTTGGGGAGAGAATACTGCAGACATTTGCTTTGCATTAAGAATGTATAAAGCATGTCCTTCATCTTGAAAGGAAAATAACAGACCTGAGAGCTAGTATAGAATGATAGTAGAGTTGGAAGGGGCTTCTAAGGCCATCAAGTCCAGCCCACCCCCCCCCATTCCACTTCTACATCTTTCCAGCTTAGCAAAGGTGACTCAACATGACTTGATGTATAGCTATGCAGGCAAGCTGTGTACCTCAAAAGAAAAACTGCAGTACAATTAAAAGCAATATAAAACATCAAACAGTAAAGCAATAAAATCAAGAGGAATAAATATTCAACCAGGTGAACATACAATAGTTTAAAATGCCTGGGCAAAACAAAAAAAGTTTTGCTGTGGTGCTGAAAAGAATGCAGTGTCATTGGCAGGGAGGCCTCTCTTGGGTGAGTAATCCAAAGTCAGGGTGCCACCAGAAAGGGTCCTCTCTTTTGCAGATGTGTAATGTTCTCCTCCTAAAGGGAGAAAGGCAATGATGGTCTTAATGCATGGGCAGTTTGGTAAGGGAAGAAGCACTGCTTCAGATATTTGGGCCCAATGCCATTGCTATGTGCCTGTGGTCACATAGGCACATAGCACATTTAAGGGCAGTGAAGGTGTCAGAGAAACAACTTCTCACAGCCTTCATTCAATCTCTTTGTTGCCCAGCAGAGCCTTTTATAATCTTCCAGGAATCATTATAAGCTGTCCCCAGGGACATTTTACACCCTTCTGAGGGCCACTGAACTGTATTTGCTATGCACTTCCAGGAAAAAAAAATCTTCTGCATTCTCTGGGGCTTAGTCTCCAATGTTATTGCAGTTAAATCAGGTGAGGTACCAAGAATGCAGCCTGATCTAATCCTTTTGGAGGTATTACAGCTGATATAGCTTGATTGTGTTGTACAAGTTAATGAAACCACATCTGTACTAGTTCCTTTCCCATCTTGGCATATACAGTATATCACAGAAGTGAGTACACCTCACATTTTGTAAATATTTTATTATATTGTTTCATGTGAACCCTGAAGAAATGACACTTTGCTACAATGTAAAGTAGTGAGTATACAGCTTGTATAACAGTGTAAATTTGCTGTCCCCTCAAAATAACTCAACACACAGCCATTAATGTCTAAACCGCTGGCAACAAAAGTGAGTACACCTCTAAGTGAAACTGTCCAAATTGGGCCCAAAGTGTCAATATTTTGTGTGGCCACCATTATTTTCCAGCACTGCCTTAACCCTCTTGGGCATGGAGTTCACCAGAGCTTCACAGGTTGCCACTGGAGCCCTCTTCCACTCCTCCATGACGACATCATGGAGCTGGTGGATGTTAGAGACCTTGCACTCCTCCACCTTCCGTTTCAGGATGCCCCACAGATGCTCGATAGGGTTTAGGTCTGGAGACATGCTTGGCCAGTCCATCACCTTTACCCTCAGCTTCTTTAGCAAGGCAGTGGTTGTCTTGGAGGTGTGTTTGGGGTTGTTATCATGTTGGAATACTGCCCTGCGGCCTAGTCTCCGAAGGGAGGGGATCATGCTCTGCTTCAGTATGTCACAGTACATGTTGGCATTCATGGTTCCCTCAATGAACTGTAGCTCCCCAGTGCCGGCTGCACTCATGCAGCCCCAAACCATGACACTCCCACCACCATGCTTGACAGTAGGCAAGACACACTTGTCTTTGTACTCCTCACCTGGTTGTCGCCACACACACTTGACACCATCTGAACCAAATAAGTTTATCTTGGTCTTATCAGACCACATGGTTCCACTAATCCATGTCCTTAGTCTGCTTGTCTTCAGCAAACTGTTTGTGGGCTTTCTTGTGCATCATCTTTAGAAGAGGCTTCCTTTTGGGATGACAGCCCTGCAGACCAATTTGATGCAGTGTGTGGCGTATGGTCTGAGCACTGACAGGCTGACCCACCACCCCTTCGACCTCTGCAGCAATGCTGGCAGCACTCATATGTCTATTTCCCAAAGCCAACCTCTGGATATGACGCGAGCACGTGCACTCAACTTCTTCGGTCGACCATGGTGAGGCCTGTTCTGAGTGGAACCTGTCCTGTTAAACCACTGTATGGTCTTGGCCGCTGTGCTGCAGCTCAGTTTCAGGGTCTCGGCAATCTTCTTATAGCCTAGGCCATCTTAATGTAGAGCAACAATTCTTTTTTTCAGATCCTCAAAGAGTTCTTTGCCACGAGGTGCCATGTTGAACTTCCAGTGACCAGTATGAGAGAGTGAGAGCGATCACACCAAATTTAACACACCTGCTGCCCATTCACACCTGAGACCTTGTAACACTAACGAGTCACATAACACCGGGGAGGGAAAATGGCTAATAATGCCCAATTTGGACAGTTTCACTTAGGGGTGTACTCACTTTTGTTGCCAGTGGTTTAGACATTAACAGCTGTCTGTTGAGTTATTTTGAGGGGACAGCAAATTTACACTGTTATACAAGCTGTATACTCACTACTTTACATTGTAGCAAAGTGTCATTTCTTCAGGGTTGTCACATGAAAAGATATAATAAAATATTTACAAAATGTGAGGGGTGTACTCACTTCTGTGATATACTGTAAAAACCAACCGGGAATAGCCAGCTGAGCAGCAGAGGTGACCCGTCTCTTTGTGAGTGGTTGTGGTCCCATGCTGTCGAGAGAAGTGGCAATGAGGCGATTCCTAAAGAAATTCTCTAGATCAAGAAGACCTTATTCATTCATTCATTCATTCATTCATTCATTCATTCAGGAAACTTCTATGCCGCCCCATTCGCCGAAGCCTCGGGGCAGCTCATAACAATAAATAACAACAATAACAATATAAAAACAATATAATTTTTGACAACTTTAGGTTTGTGGTGAATTTTCCTTTCCTAGTCAAGGTCTGTGAGTGGGTGGTGGCCGACCAGCTTCAGGCAGCCTTGGATGAGATGGATTATCTGGATCCATTTCAGCTGGGGTTCTCATCATCTTCTTTGCTGACCTATGCTGGGAGAAAGATGGAGGAGTATGACCTCACTGATGCTTTTGGAATTCTAAGCAGCTTTTGATAACACTGACCATGGTTTCTGTCTATCTGAGTTAGGAGAGAGGGACACTGCATTGCAGCAGTTCTGCTTCTATTTGGATGGATGGCCCCAGAAGTTTGTGCTTGGAGAATATTATCTTTCCTCATGCATTCTCCAGCATGGAGTTCCTTAGGTATTAGTTTTGTCTCTCATGGTATTATGTCTCTCAGCTACTACATGAAACAGTGGGGTCATCTAGAGTTTTGGGTGCTGATGACATGCAGCTCCATTTCTCCTTTTCATCTCTGCCAGGTTGTGCTAAATGGGTGCTTGGCATTACTAATATGGTACTTGACCATATTAGTAATACCAAGAGCACCAAGTCCTTTTCAGGCCTGAGCCCGGACACCTTTAAAAAATACACACATAAAAGGAATAGAACTTGGACTCCCCCTGCTGTGCCCACCCAGCTTGGCAGGTTTCAGTAGGGCCAAATTCATCATGGGCCAAATTCATCTACAAGTAAGCTGCTTGTCAAGAGGGACAAAAACATCTTGTTGTTCTTGCCAAACTTCTTTCAGGCAGCCATCATGGCCAGCCACCTCAAAAGCTCTCAAGTAAGTGCCAGTTGAGAATGGCTGGCAAAGGCTCCCCCTTCCCCTTGCTGTGAACCATTTCAGGTTTGCTATGGCTTCACTTCCATTTTAAAAACTCTTTTTGTTGAGGTTATGAAACTTTTTTTTTTACATTTTCACATGGGGGGAGCATCCACAAAATTCTCCTCCAAGAATTTCCCATGGTTGTCCCCATATTTTTAATAAAACATTTTGGTGTGATTATTTGCACAAATAATATTTTTAAAATGACAGGCAGGATGAGTGAATATGGGAGGGCTGGAGTAGGTATTGACTGAGGGAGGAGCTGCTGGACAACTTTGATGTGTTATTATTTCAGGGACACTTGCAAATGTAAAGGGCTCTTGGGACAATTGATCATCCCTCCCCAGTTACCCAGGAATCTTGCTGGAAAGGGGGAGAAAATTGAGGGGTTGGCCCCCCAAACCCAATCTTTGGGGTTTTTTGTGTGGAGGGTTGTTGTTCACCTGAATTAT